AAAAGTGGGTTGGGTTTTTTTTCAAAAAATTAAGGCCCCGTTTATGGAAAAAAAAGAAAATGTTTCGATAAATAATAAATTAAATTCTAGTAAGAATATTTTATAAAAATAATATCAATAATTTAAAATAAATGTTTAATTAATTTTTTGGTAGTGTTTTCGCTTTTCATGCACACATATCCAAGTAAATATAAATTATACAAAAAACGCGTTCTTATTCTTTATGGAACTGGCGCCTAACAGTTTTCAAATTTTCTTCAACGGTGTTGGTATGAAACTCGATGTCTGGGTCTCAAAAGTGTAATAAATGAATGCTACGCGATAGCTTGTAAAATACCTACTTAGGCTAAAATATTTGTTTCAGCAATCAATATAAACAGCGGACTTGCTGGTATTAAAGTATCTGCAGTTCTTTGTTATTACAGTGACAGCTTTGGTCTTGTTTTAATGCCACATTTTTGACAAACTAAATTACACTTTGTTATGGAAATATTTCTATAAAAATTTCAAGCTCCTACCCAATTATTATCCTATTGTTTAAAATTTATTTTTAGAAGCTGAATTTTTAAAATCCCACAATCCTTCTTTTGTGTTATAAATTATAGCTTTTTAGCCATAATTTGTACTTAACTATAAAAAAAACTAATTGATGTATTTTTTATTTTTTTATAAACATAAAAAGTGACAAATGTAAAAATAGATTGGCTAAAATACTGTTTATACAAAATATTAAATGTCAAAATAGTAATGTTATCTTGCAAACCCTTCATTTTTATGCTTAAACATAGTAGTAGCAATATTTTTCAAAAAGAACTAAATTTAAAATTATTACTAAAAGGCAAAAATAATTAAAAATTGATGAAATATTGATTCCATTTTTTAAAATATTATTTTACGTTAAATTTTTTAAAAAACTGAAAAATTACAATATAAAAATTGTTTTTTAAATCAAAAAAAAGCAGTATTTTAAGAAATATTAAAATGCGTTTAAAAATATCACTAGAAAAACTTAAGATGTATTAAATATAAAATAATTTTTGACACAAGATTTTTAGGCCTGTAAAATCTTAAGAATTGTGTTTATTTTTAATGTCTCTGGTATTTTGAATTTATGATAGCTTATTGAAATAGAATGAGAATTAATTTGTAGATAAACTAAATAAACAAACCAATAAAGTGTAAGTATACCAGCTAAAATTATTAACAAGTTAATTTAATAAAGAGAAAATTTGTAAATTATAATAATGTAAAAAACAAATAGTAAATGTAATTATGTGTTAGCTGAAACATCACAAAGACAAAAACTTCACTATTTAACAACTTGGGTTATAATTTAGCATGTAAAAAGACAAAATTTTGGGAAATTAAAGTTCTTTGGTATGAGGACCACAGAAGAAGTATCAGATTTGCATATATACGGTTCAAAAATATGATAAATTTGTTAATGTTAACCCGTATTGCAAAATTTTTAATAAATATTAAAATATAATTTTATAACTCTTTTGTTTAAAGCTTTTGAAGTACTGTGGTATACAACACTTTAATATTTTAAGTCAAACAATTTATTAGATAATAATTGTTCTTCTTTTTAAATTAATGGGAGAAATTAAAAATAAAAAAATGTGGTAAATTTTATTACAATTACTTAAAAACGTTTAATACAAACTAGAAGAATGAGATGTGCCAAAAGACAATATTAACACAAAACTTAATTCTATTTAATATTTAACTATGTTAGAGTCGAACGATAACATCCCTGATAATATAATACTTCTTTTATATCTAGAGATAACTATCATGACCCAATTCATGACAAGAAAGTTTAGTAAAAAATTTTTGTTTATTTTCCGCCCAAGATTTGATATTTTTTACAAAAGAAAATATTTAATTTAAGGGTATGAATTTTAAAAAGAAACGAGAATATAAAAATTCAATAAAACATTATTATTTAAGACCAAAATTTCTAACAGAGCCACATGGAGCTCTTTCTAAAATATAAGGGCGTATTCATGGATATTCTAGTAACCAGTCATATATTTTATTATGATGCTTTTGACATTCTGGAATATAAAGCACTGATCAAGCGAACGATTACTGCTCACTTAGTGTATTGAAGCAAATCCCGGAGTTCTCTATTTAAAATTATAAATATTTTTTAATATCAAATCTATTAAAGTGTCTACCAATAGCTTTAAAATATATGAAAATATCATTCCTACACAATAAATGTTAGTTTTCAAAAAGTTAGCGACAGTGCTATTAAATCTACTTGAAAGCTTTATGGATAATTTATATTCATTTAGGAACATAATTAATCTTAATATAAGGAAAAGTTCTGCAGCTAGAAAGAAATATTTTGCTAAATGCCCGACCAATTTTTTTATTTTGTATAATGAACATTATACCTTGTAGTTATAGCTTCTTTTGAATGATAAACTGTTCTGTTAAAAAAAAAGTAAATTTGAATTAAGACAGCCCTCTCATTAATCCGAAAAAATAAAAGAATGCGGATGTATAGGTCTTAACATAAAATCAATCAGTTTTATTTAATCTTTTTTTTACTTTGGTGTTGAGAGGATATAAAATATCTTGTTGTAAGATTAAGCATGGCTGATTTGCATTTTAGTTTTATATAATTTTCATAATAAATAAACTCACGTTTTCAATTAAAATTCTTTCAGATACAACATTTGGAGCTAAAGAAGTGTATACGTTGTGGAGAGGCAAATAAAACAGTTGATCATCTTGCTTCAAGATGTGAGAAAATGCTAAGGGCGACTACGTACGTCGGCACAATGAAGTTTTCAAATGCATTTGCTCTATCTTTTGTAATAAATACGATTTAAAATCAAGGAAGAAGTTGAAAAGTCAGTCTGTTTAGGAAATCATTACAAGTAAATGGGTAGAGATTCGGATGGACACATTCGTCAAAACGGATATAAAAGTTAAAAATAACAAACCCGACTTGATAGTGATAGATAAGAAAAAAAGAGATACTAACCATAGAAGTTGGCATAACTTCATTAAAAACTTGATACAGGTTGAAAGTGAGAAGCAAAGAAAATATGATATTTTTGCAAACGAAATGACACTGTTAAGCGGATTTAAGACGATTATTATATCATATGTACTAACTTGGGACGGTATTGTTACATAATATCATAAATTACACAGACGAAGATTGGAAATTTCTGACCATATCGAGGCTTACATCTAATCTACGCCTTGAAGAAAACGTTGGAAAGCATTTCTCAAAGATATAGGAGGGTTGGGTTCTTTGAAGGAACTGGTGAGGAAAATATAGCTACGGCAATGATTTTGATTATCGAACATAAAAAGCCCAATCCTTTGCGGAATAGAAATTAAGTTAAAAGTGCCTTATAAATAGTTGATATTTGATTCGTTTTTAAAACGATGATTAAGAGTATTTCCATGGTTGTACGAATGACGCAATCAAGAATCAAAACCAATACCTTTATTATATTTTCTCTTTATAAATTTATTTTTATTAATTTCAATGTTACCATTTTGATTACTTAATTTAAGAGTTTGACTATCATGATTCAAGCTAATGACCAATTCTTTACAATCGAATGATTGTAACAACTCTGATTAATGCCATTGGTCCTCTCTACAACTATTAGGTTTTCACGCTGATTTTTAAAGTATTTAAGAAAGTTTTACTAAATAAATATATCCGTTTTTTTAACTAGCTTTTACAACAAATCCTTTTACATTTCATTCATCAACAATCGCGCGCTACCGCCTAGGTACGGCATTGACAATAATAAAAAAAGAATTTATTGTTTAAATATTCCATCAATAAGTCCTGAAATTTCTACAGTATATTTCATAATCCAACGACACTATTATTTTAATAAAAACTTAACGTAAATTACACCAATTTACCAGTTTATTGACATTGATCAATTCAATTTTCATTTAATTTGGATTTTAACTACTTGTTTGTCTAATATTAGAGCTAATATAATGTTTTTAAAAAATTAAGAATTTTTGTAAAAAAAAGCGTTGCATAATCTTACGACAGTTCTATTTTTGATAAACTTTTAGCCGGAAAAATCTTATTAAAAGAATTATTTTGTTTTCCTTAATGAGTCTAAACCATCCCTCGTGATTCTGAAAAGCCCTTTTTTTACCAAACAAGCATAAAAAGTTAGTTTTAAGAATAACAAAGAAATAAGAAAATCACGTTCTGTTAATTCAAAATACATAAAAGAACCTATAAATTATAGTAAGAAGGTGTCATCTGGTTGTCCCAAAAAGGACCCTCTTAGAACACGATTAAGATTAATTAAGATTGCTAGTGGTTAAAAGATAATGGCGAATAAGTTAAAGCATATTTTAGATTTAAATGTACATAAATCAACCTTAACAAAAATTTTAGAGCAAAATGGCGAACTAAAAAAAAAATACACCGAAAACCTGCTTTAAATTTTGAACATGTGGTAAAATACAACAATTTAAAATTTTTATCTTTATGAATTTTCTAGAATTTTATTTTCTATAAATAAAAATTTTAGAAAGAAGGATACACAAAAATTTAACATGAAAGAATACCTACATAATGATAAGAAAAACATGGTAACCAATAAAGGGCCAGTGATAAAAAGTTACTTAGAAATATATTTTAAGACGGAACAGTTACCTCGATCTTCCTCTAGAACATAAAAAAAGCAGAATATTTTTAGGTAAATATCGAAATTTTGGAACCAGATAGAAAGAAATAATATTTTCAGGTAAAAAAAATTAATCTTAATAGTTCGGATGGTTATAACTATTACCGGGCAGGTATTAAAACAAAAGAAGTTGTGTAGTCTCGCAGAGCCATGGGAGGACCTTCAGTCATGGTTTGGGGTTGTTTTAAATATTTTAAAAAATCAATATTGGCTTTTATTTCAAGAAGTATTGATAGTTTAAAATATCAAGATATATCGAATAACAGGTTACTTCCATTTATGAATGAACAAATTTTACCAAAAATAATTTTTCAGAAGGATAAGCAAGCCCAAATGTTTCAGCATCTACAAAAAATTGATTAGCTTGCAAAAATATCGAGACAATGTTTTGGTAAGCATATTCTCCTGATCTTAATTCTATAAAAAAATTTTAGCTAGAGCTTTCTAGACGGAAATATTCTGAAGAAAAATCCTACGACAAAGTAAATAAATTAAACCCCCAATTTCTGAAGATTGACATAATATTAGCACAAATTTCTGTAAAAAGCTTATTAATTCAATGAAAAACAAAATTTAATTAGTGATTGAAAACAATGGTGGCTCAATTGATTATTAAATATCATTAAAATTAAACTGTCGTAAGATTATGTAACTTTTTTTTAAAAAAATTCTAATTTTATAAAAACAATAATTTTATCTAGTAATGAAATAAATTAGCAGTTAACTTTTGGAAGAAATAAAGAATTAAATGGATCAATATCAATAAATTGGTAAATTAGCACAATTTACGTTAAGGTTTTGATTAAAATAGTGGCATCGTAAGATTATACAACGGACTTACATACTATCTATAAACAAAAAGAGGAGAAAAAGGCCTATTCTAATTAATTATATAATAATGCCATTTTACAGTTTCTAATAAAAAGTATTCTTATCAACACTATATTATCTTTACAATATTCATTTAATGCCTCTAAACGTATTCTCTTGTATCTATTGTATTTTTTCTAAACATTTAAAGAATTCTTCGATCAAAATTCATTTATGTTATAGGTGACTAATTTTTATGTTAGAATTCTTTTATTTGTAGTATTTTAAAATAAAAGTAAAAAAAAATTTCGGTATTTATCACAAATTGGGCGGTACAAGATCATTAGCAAAAAATTACTTCAAAAATTAAAGTACAGTAATTGTTTTATAATTTGTAGTTTAAAAACTTCATTCAATTGTACTCTTTGCAAAAAAAGCTTTCTTTAACAAAGTGATCTAAAAGAAGAATTGTATGATTATTAAAAAATTTTATTTTTTAAATTTTATGTAAAATTCATTGAGAAGATCCAAAGAATTAGTATAAGAATCTAAATTTATAGTTATGCTTAAAATATGGTCAGCTAGATATTCAAGATTTCTCTTTAAGTCGGCCCCTATAACATGATTAAAATAGAAGTCTTGACAGAGTAATCGTTTGACTAAAGTAATCATTTTTGCAAAATTATTATCTGAAAACAATGTTGTAAATTTGTATTTTTGGTATTTAAACCTATCATCAAAATAATAATAGGCAATGAAATTTTTTTTTTCAAAAAAATTAGAATCAATGATAAAGGCAAAAACTTGGCTAGTAAATTTTAAAATTTTTTCTATTAAATTATAATTTAGCAATGATATTCGTTGATATTCAAGTTGTTCATAAATATTGTTAATACAATCGTCAATTTTTTTTTTCCTTTTATACAATTTACCGTTATAAGATATTTTAAGTTTTTTTAAGCGCAATTTATCATCATCTGAAATATTTCTTGCATCTAAGCTGTAAATATTACTAAATTCGGGCAAGTTTCTTGATTGTATTAAATTATAAAAGTTTTCTTTAAGTTTATTAAATAAGTTTGAAAGTTCTTGTTCAGCGAAAAAAGTTATGTTACGTGGGGGTGTTAAATATGATTTTGTAGAACCAGGCCGAGACATCATAGCTAGATCTTCAAGTACCTCTCTTGAATTTGTATTGACATAAGTACTCTGTAATTTATTGACATTAGTATTTATAGTGTTTTTTAAAGATCCAATGTAATTAAAATCTACTTTTTTATCCATATCATCTGTCCTGATGGAATTGTAAAGATTGGCACCACCTAATGATCGTGCATTTGAAAGTGAAGAAGCAAGATTATTTTTAGACTTACAGCTCAAATCTAAAGGTTCTGTAGAACCAGAACTTATTGTATCAATAGTGTTAGCATCCATTAAGCCGTTATAATTATTAGTTAGTGACTTTACAGTACTATCATGCATATCAACGTGTTTTATAGTTTTGCATTGTTCTAAATTTCCAGTAGTAACATCAGCACTTTGTAACTCTTTTACTGCTAACTTTTCACTTTCTAGGTTTAACTTACCTTTATCTATATCAACATTTACGTCAATTTTATTTTCAATTCTGAGTTTTTTATTGGTTCTCTTTTGAATCTTTAAATCATTATCTATACGTTTCTTATCCTTCAATAAAGACATCATTGAATGATTAAGATTATAAATTCGTTCATGTGTATTAAAATGAGATGATATTACTTTTTTAAAAACCAATAAAAAACAAATAAAATTCATTTTATAGGGGTATATTGAAAAAAATTTAATAAAACTTGTGGAAAATTAATACAGTTTTATATATTATATATTTTAAGCCAACTTTAAAAATTAGAAATTTTTGATTTTTTATTTATTTAATTTAATTTTCTAATATATTAAAAAAATCAATTATATAAATTAAAATTGATGTTTTAATACAAGTGTCGCATATCCTACTTATATTTAAGTTCTTGTAAATATTAAAAAAGTTCATCATCATTTGCTGATAAATGTATGAATAATTAATTTTTAAAAACTAAACAGGAGGTGTGTGCAAGTCGTTTTATTTTTTCATATTTTATATTAAAATATTAATTTTATGGCAATTTATTTATTTTTTGCTCAAACATAGTATTAGCAAAGTCATTCACACAAAAATAAATCAATATCGTTTTATTTACAAGCAAAAAATAATTTTAATTTGGCGAAATACGCAACTTCCATTTTTTTATATATTATAAAGCTTTAAAATTTTAATAAAATCGAAAAATTACGATTTTAATATTTTATTAATTATCAACAACCGTATTATTTAAAATGTAATATTAAAATGTAGAAGTAAAGTTAACATAGTAAAACTTAAGTAGTTATTAAAAACACAAATAATCTTGGCAGCAGATAAAAACTTGTGTCACAATTTAGCAAGCAAAAAAGACATGGCATTAGGACAATAAAGCCCTTTGGTGCTAGAACCGCAGAAGATGTCCGCAAGCTGTATATAAACATTTTTAAAAAATAGTATGTTAAATGTAATCTTCAATAATTCCGACAATTTTCTCAACCTGTATGTGAAGGCATCAAATCATTACAAATGCCTTTAGGTAATACAATGTAATCCATTATTATAGTCTTTATTGTATATGTTAACGATAAAGCTTTGCTTTTCTTATAAAGCTACATTTAGCTACTTTACTATTTTTAAAAAAAATTAAATCGTGTGAGGAAAATCTTTTCAAGTATTAGTACAATATTGACTTTGTAAATATTATTAACGATCATCTTATTTACCCTTAATATATTGAATTGATGGCAACAATTAAACTGTATTTTTTAAATAATAATATTGTTTTACTTATGGCAGATGAGGACAAAAAGAAAGTAAATAATTAAATAGAATAAAAGTTTATTGTTAAAAAAATAAAAACAGCAACAGAAGAAAAACCACCAGTGCACTCAATACACCACTACATAAACAAAAACATCAGTATTGCGCTTACACGCCAACATACCTTTACGGACTTGTATATAGTCGAAAAAAATGTTCCTTTAGGATACAGAATCCTTGATGATCAAAAGAAAGTACCTAAATTTTTATCTTTACACATTTAGTTTTTACATAATTCAAAAAATATTTTTTAAGGTGCAATATTTTTCTTGCCTAACACTTAAAGACTGTCAGTACTTAATTTCTTGTTATAAAATTTTAAAAAATTTAAATACAATATCTAAAAAAATTACACTGTTAAAATGTATAATAATGTAATTAAATTCACTGCAAATAGTTTTTAAAAACAATTTATCAATTCTTACCAATAAAATTTAATATACCTATATAAATATTTAAATTCTGAAGCTTTTAACCGTTTAAGTAAATATGAGAGTTTAAGTCTATTAAAAGTAGTTTCACTTGTATGATACTAATACCACACAAAGCATATCATTTTCAGTCAAACCATTATTTTAAACTGAAACACGTTTAATAAATTTCATTAAATGTTTTTGACAAAATAACAAGATGCTGAAATAAATAAAAAAAGTACAACTATTATGAACACCAAGAACAACATGAGAGATCACACGATGAGCAACACCATAATAATGATAAATCATTTGATTTTAAAAAATCAACTTTATTTTTAAAAACTGGCATTATCGAAAATTAAAGTTTTTGCAGGCTTCCAACATTAAAACTAAAATTTGGTAATAATAGATCTAATATCATATCAAGATAGAAGTTAAAATATGCCGGCGCCAATTTAATAAGTCTTGTGCTTTTTTTAGTTTGTTCTAGCCACAATTTTAAATTTTGTTGTTGTTCAAAATCAATTATCTCATAACGCAATAAATTTTCAATTTGATTAACAATAAGAATAAAATTTATTCTATTTACTGCGTTTAATAATATTATCCTTTTTAATATTACTTCATTTATATGATTTTGTATGGTTAAACTAAGGTTTGAAAAAATTATAGGATCAATTTTTTGATAACAAACATAGTCAAATATCATTTTTATAAAATGAAGCGAAGAATCTATTATATTAAAAGATTCCTGTGATATATCAAAGGAATAAATGCATTCTCTTAGATTTGAAATACTTATACTAGTTGTTTCCTTTAAAAAATCAAGTCTCAGGTTATACCCATTAATATAATTTTCATAAGCTTTTCTAGAAAAATTTTCATTATAATCATTAATGTATTGGATTGAATATCTTACAATAATCATATATTGGTTGTAAACAAATTCGTTGAACATCCATTTTAAATCAAAAATATTTGGAAAAAGACTAGGTTGAACTTTTCCTTTATATCTTATTGCACAAAATTTTAAAGAAAACATTGAAAATTGTTCATTTAAAGGTTTTTCAAAATTTGATTCAAAAATAGAAGTTTCAGAAGTAAAAACATTTTTTTGTACGTCTTGTTGATACTTCAAACTGCTCTCAAATTTATGTAAATCTTCAATCAATTTTGCTTTTTTTTCGTTTCTTTTTTTTTTATGCTCATTTAAAAATATTCTTTTATTAAATTGTTTAGCGATATCTGAATTATTAATATTTGAAAAGGCTTTCTCTGCTTGACTTTCGTTTGAGTTAAAACCTGTAATATTATTCTCTTCTTTTTCGCAGTAATTTAAATTAATGTATGGCTTTGCGTCTGTAGATTGTAAAACCAAATTTTTGTCACGCGCAACACTTTCTTTTGCTAATAGTGCTTGATTTTTGGTTTGTAAAAATAAATTTTTCTCTTTAACACTTGAAATTGGTTTATTATTATCATTTTTTTTATAATTAAAGTCTGTCGATGTTTCGGTATTATTAGGAAAAGGGTCAAAAGAATTTGTATTTGTTACTTGCTCATCATGTAAAGTTCTTTTTGCTCTTAAAACTTTCCTTTTTGAAGTAGTTCGATCAAAAATAGGAAAAACAAAATTATTGATTTGACAAACGTTACTACTCGATGATTCGTTAGTGTTTTCATTGTTCTCAAATATTTTTGATTGGTTGTTAACTATGTAATTCTGTTCTATATTAAAGGCACTATTAAAATTAATATTAAAAGCTTTACCAAGGATCAAAATAGAATGTATTTGTATGGATAAATTCAGCAAAGCATTGTCCTGTTGTTTTGCATATTGAGAATGATCATGATTAACATCTTTTTTCATAATTTCCGATTCACCTAAATCATCAGAACAACGTCTTAATCTGTTATGTGGCGTCAATTCATTTGAAAACTTAGTAGAAATTACTAAACTGACATAAAAAATCATGGTAGGGGCAAAATATTTTTTATTTATATTAAAATAATTAATTTTATTTTCTTATAATTTTAATTAAATGCAGAAATAACACTTTTTTTATCAAAAACTAAAACAAGATTTTAATTAACTTTCCCTTGTAAAATATTTAAAATTAATTAAAAAGATAATTACACTTTTTTTATCAAAAAATAAATACAAGATTTTAATTAACTTTCTCTTGTAAATTATTAAAAATTAGTTAAAAAGATAATAACACTTTTTTTATCAAAAACTAAAACAAGATTTTAATTAACTTTCCCTTGTAAATTATTTAAAATTAATTAAAAAAATAATAACACTTTTTTTATCAAAAAATAAATACAAGATTTTAATTAACTTTCTCTTGTAAATTATTTAAAATTAGTTAAAAAGATATAAATTATTAAAAAAATATAGTAAAAATCGGTAGAAAAATGGAATATGGGCACTTGATGGGTATTTTAAGATCATAGGCGCTTGGTGAACATATCAATAATAATAACAATAATAATTGTAAAATTTAAAATAAATTAAAAAAATATTTAATTAACTCAAAGTAGTTTTGATAATTCAAAAAACATCTCATTTTTGAAAAGGTCACAAAACATATAAAAATTAAAAAACGTTTGATTATGTGGTCTTCGTACTCTTTTTTAGGTTTACATTTCTAGTTTAATCTTATTATTAAGGTATTTGACGGGTACGTGTGTACAGCCGTAAAGAGTCTAAAAGGTGATATTTTTGTGCTACAATGCCGTGTGAGAAATTGTTTTTTTTCTATTTCGTCTCTTATAAGCCGCCCATTAATCAAAATGGATTATACTATTTGGACGCACAACATTTTCTATTATCGAAATCATGACATCACGATTCCAAAAAGCACCACCAAGAAAAAGGCTTTGGTTGATTTAGTACTTGTATCTGCCATGGTTAACGCACAATCTGGCCGTTTAATACCTCGTACTTATTGACTTTTCATATACATAATTTAGCTCAGTCTTGTCGACCTGTACAACAATGTTCGGGCCTCCTAACCAAACCGAATAGTTATCAAAAAAAGATTTTCTTTTATTCGTTTATTTCTTTTAAATGCTGCGTATTATTTTACACTCAAACCACTTACAAAATTCATTATATATCAGATTGCTTTGACCCTTTTACTAGATAAAATATGACTTTAAATTGTTCCACCGGGGATACTTTTAAATTATAAAAAAATCGGATAAAATTGAACGCCTGCACCTGTAAAACTTGCACTTTTTATTATAACAACACAAAACATACCCCAAACTTTCTTCGCTATAAGATTTAAAATACATTTCCATGCTAGAATGTAAGCAATATAATTTATCATAAAAAAGGTTGCTGTTTATTAAATATTTAAATATTTATTCCTGTAATTTTTGTCAACATTTTCAATTCATTCTGAAAGTAGCATTAAAGAATCTTAAATATTTAAAATTTTAAATATACGGGCACTTGTCTGCTGTTGAAATTATATTTTGAATAGTGACATTGTATTGGCGTCATTTCAAAATCTTACATTTTTATTAACACCTTGCAATTTGTTCTTAAAATCTTTACTTACAAATGATTGTGTCTAGTGAAAAAATAAATAAATTTATCGACAAAAATTTTTTTGCAAAAAATAATTTTTTAAGTTCATATCTTATGAAATAATTTTTATTTAATTTATCCCGATAAAAACTTAATTTACTTAAAAAATAATATATAATTTAACAATTATTTTTTTTATTTACATTTAATCATAATGCGTTTCTAATAACTAAATACTCAAGCTATGTATAAACCAGAAAGCAAAGTAAGATTATTATACAATTACTTATTAGTTAGATATCTAATACCACTTTCTTGATTTATTTTTTGTTAAAAAGATCTAGTATCTAAAACAAAGTATTTATTTTCTGTGTTAAGATTATAAGTTTATGTGCAAAAAAAATAATTTACATAATTTGAATATAACCATTTTCCATAAAATTGATAAATAGTAGTATGATAAAATACCACAAGTTAAAAATTTTTTAATTTTATGAATTTTCTAAAATTTTATTTTTAATAAATAAAATAATCAAAAAGAGGAGTACACAAAAAGTTATATGAAAGAGCATTTTTATAATAGTAAGAAAAAACATAGTAATCAAAACGGGTCATTTAAAAGAGATATTTAGAAAATTATTTTAAATCAAGACAGCTACCCCGGTCTTTTCTCAAGTAACTTAAAAATTAATAAAATAACTTTATTGGTTCGTTAAAATTAGACAAAATTTTACTTTTAATAACACTAATGTGATATAAAAAAAAATATATATAAATAAGATTTACACCACTTTTATTTAAAAATGTTTTTTGATTTCTTTTTTTACAATATTAATAATATTATCTGCATCATTCACAAGAACACCAATCCAACCAACCTTTTTTGCACTTTCAATGTTTTTAATATTATCATCAAAAAATAAAATTTTTGTCAAATCCGACTTTTTAATAACTTGGTTGACAAATTCAAATGCTTCAACTGAAGGTTTACAAATAACTTCTTTATTTTTTTTATATCCTACACAAAATAATGTATCAATGTATGGTGTCAATTTCAACACATCTAAAACATGTTCTGATTGTTTACTATTGGTATTTGTAAAACAAAAAATAGGGATATTATTCTGTCTTTGATAACCTTTGCCTGTAATTTCTCTTAGAAAATCGATTAATTTGTCATTGCTTGATAATAAAGAAGTCATGTCTTCATTGACATTATCCATGCCTTTATAAAGATTATCACTGATTGGAAAATCTTTAAGAAATCCCTTATAATGAAGCCCATACATATGCGTATACATTGTGCTTAATTTATCGTATTCTTCAAATGACATTTTTATATCAGTCTCAAGATGCTTATAGCCTGCCATTCTTCTGGCTGTTATAATTTCATGATTCTCTTTGTATAAAGTGCCATCAATGTCGAATATAATAAACCTATCTCTGTCTTTATACATCGATGTATCAATACTTTTCAAAAATCAGTGTTTTTAATTATTTTCATTTGCAGGGATCAGATAAAAAATTTTGTGTTTTAAGGTAATAATTTTGTTTGTAAAATTAATCTTATTGACGCAATGTTGTAAACAAAGTTAATTTACAAAAATTTTTTTACAGTAGAGAAATAAAAACATAGAATTTTATTATTTTCAAAAAACCCGTAAAAAATAATAATTAGAATTTTAAAAAGACTATTTTGCCCTATAAAAACGTGTTCTTAATAAGATTACAAGGTTTAAATATTTAAATGTTTTATTTTATTTTCATAATAAAAGAAAATAAATCTTACCCAAAAATTAAAAATAATATTTTAAAATTTCAATTCAAAATAATAAAATTTAAAAATTTATAATCCTTATGTTAAAAGATGAAAAGCTTTTGCTTAGGCTCAGAATTGTAGCTGAATATAAATTTAAAAAATGTGAAATAAAAATTTAGAAAAAAATTAAATTTATATTCTTCCCACCTCTCTAGAGCAACGGGCGAATATGTAAAAAAGGAACAATTATTTGAACTAAGAGGTCAGGTAGAAAATCTTTGTTTTATGACATTACTTTATTGTATCTTGGCAAGGGAAAAAAGGATCCATTAATAGATTCAAAAAAACCGGCAGTAAAAGTTTATAAAATTAGAAAAAAGAAAGTGATTTCTATGAATATTCGTATGTAGCTAGTTAATTTGAATTTATAAGCAGGAGAAGGGCATGTAAATTACTTTTATAAAAAAATATTCAGGATAGATTAAGACTAGCAACAGAATATTATTGCAAAGGTGAAAATTACTTAAAAGTATTATATGGAGTGATGAATCTAAAATATCACTGCTTTGATCAGATGGAACAATTTACTGCCGCTGGAAAGACGGTTTGTGGTATGATATGAAAAATTAAAAACTTACTGTTAAGCATGGTGGTGGTTCAATCATGGATTGGGGATGTTTTTCTGAAAATGTGTTGGAAATATTAATATTATTGGAGGTAAAATGGATAATTTGAAATATACAACAATTCTCAATGATAATTTATTCAGAAGTACCAAAGATTTCAATTTAAAAGATTTTTTATTTCAATAAGATAATGACCCAAAGCTCACGAAGGTGTTTTTAGATTTAAAAGTATTAACTTATTAAACGGCAATTACAGTCACCTGATTTAAATCCAATTGAGGATCTATGGTATGTCCTGAAGAAAAATGTTTGTAGTAAACGGTGTAAAAATATACAAGAATTAAAAGTTTCTGAAGTAAAAAAATGTAAAGAATAAGCAAAAAAATTTGCCAAAAGTTAGTATCAGGATTGATTAAAAAATATTAAGCAGTAATTAGAGCAAGAGGGTGTCATACAAGATATTAATAAAAAAATTATATTTTTTATTCTCACCTAAAATTTATTTTTATTAAAATCACCTAACTATTTAATTAGATATAAAAACAAAACTAACGATACAGTAAAAATGTTTTTAAAAACATGTGCATTTAACCTTAGTATTGGCTTGTAGAAGATGGTTATCCGAAAACATGGGTTTATTTAAAAATATAATAAATACTAAAATTAACCAAACATATTCTTTCTGAATATTATTAGCAACAGCCTTCCAACACATATTTTTAAATTGATAAATAAATTTAAAAGAGGATATTTAAAACAAAACCAAAAATACACGTGAAAATGTATTTAAAAACATGTGCACTAAATCTTAGTTATTTATAAATAAATTTTATTTATCAATTCCGCTACTGTTGATGTTAGTGTTTTTTTAAGAAGAAGATCTTATTTTGAAAAAATATTCTTGGGATTAGATTAACATCTAATCTATTCTTCTTTGCAAGATTTAATTTGCTGTTTGTGGTATTATTTTCGTACCACATTTTTTTTAATAAGCCAATAGGGTATTATATCAATTTGAAACGTCACATATAATAGTAATTAAATTAAAATATTAATACATTTTTAAAACGAGAATGCTCATTTGATGCCCCTAAATATAAATAAGGAAGTTAATTAGCTTTAACGAGTCAAAATAGTTCTAATAGATGCAGCATTTCTACAAATTAAACTTATTGTAACAAAAACACCCTTTACACGGAAATTTACGGGTCTTATAGCATCATCGAATGCTTTCTTGCCACAGGCACAATTCCTGGCAAATACTCTACAGTTAAATTTTGACATGCAGGTTTCTAGACATTTTTTAGCTTTTAAGCTTACTCTTTTATTTTTTCGTATCCGCCATAATCTAGGTTTTTTTATTGTAGATGTCATGCCCACAAAAATAGGCTTCGTCCTTTAAGTATTCTTTTAATATACTTTTAATAATATTATTATTAAATCTATTTATTCGTTTTTTTAAGCAAAATCCTAAAAAGGGCTACCTTTGTTCAAATTACCAAAATCATACTAATCTTTATTTTTATTTTACCTTTATTTTTAAAGTTTTTATTTAGATAATTTTTTATTTTTTATAATTGAAAGTTTCAAATAAAAATAAACTTAAAATAAATTTCTCTGTCGTAGCCAGAGCTATGACAGTAGATAAAATTAGTAGTTCTGTCACCAATCACAAGTATTCGCTAAAAAACATATTTTGCTTTTTTATACTATGCTTGCAGATTATACTATTCTTTATCATTTTTAAATTCTGTATATTTTTATTATACTATAATTTAGCTTATTATAAATTATTTATAGATTTATTTATTAAAAATAAATTTAAGTACAGATTCTCATTTTAATGTTTAAATTAACTTCGTAACAAAATTATTTCTAGCACTGCTTTATAACGAAAATTTTTTAACTTTAGAAAATGTACATATTTGTACGCCATAACCTATTTATTCCCTTAGATAATCATTTTACTATAAAAATTGCAAAAAAGTTGATAATATTAATTCTTTTATTGAAAGTAATAAGTACATTTTTAAAAAAATAATTAATAATGTTGTGGTAGATAATGAAATAAAAAAAGTAATTCTTACTTTTTTTACATATTTTTAGTATTAAAACAAACATTAACCAGTCATAAATTTACCATTATTTAATATATTTTGTATCATTGAAAAAAAAGATACCTTACGCTCGCTTTATAAAAAATTAGAGCTTCTTCGTATTTAATTTTTATAATAACAATCTTAAAACTGTTTATGTAAAATGATTAAACCGTATTCTAATAAAAAGTCTTTGCAATTGTGTCTTAAGGTTGTTTAATTATTTTAAATTAACGTATATTTAAACCTAATTGCCCAATACTTAAATTCAATCTTATACTAACAAACCTTTAAAAATTATTTTTTTAAAGTTTTAAATCTTTTACAAATAGACACAAGTTACATATATTTTTTTTTAGTTATTGTCTTTTTGCTTTATTTTAAAAACATTAGAACGAAATTTCTAGATATCTTTTATAATTTGTAAGTTATTTCTACTTTTTACCATTTTTAATAAAATATTATGTTATAATGTCTACTAGTCTTGTACATACACTAAACTTTAATCACTTGTTTTACTAATTATGTGTATGTGTTTTGATAAAAATTTTAAATTTTTGTTTATTTTGCATGCGTCTTTCGTGGATTAAAGTAAAATTATTTAAAAAATTATATGTTGCTTAGACGAACATATAATAACTCTATAAACCCTTAAAAAATCCCCTTGTATTTTATTTTAAAAACTTAACTGTTAATTAAACCACAACTAAAATATACGTAAGATTCTTTCTAAAGAACACAGTAAAATAAATTTAAATATTAACGTGTAAACTTACAATTTTTTGTCTACTAAAAGCTAGATAGCATAACTCTGCTACTAGTACTAATTTTTATTTTTAATAAGTCAGTATTTAATAAAATTATAACGTTAAATTATATTGTATTAATTTTACGTGTCTCAGCTTCTATTCAAAATTCTTCAAAACATTGTTTCACTACAAAAAATATAAAACCCATAACAAAAATTTAGCATGCGCGAATCTAACATAAGCCCAGATAAAAAAATTGAATTCTTTTGGCAGCGTACGTTTAAAAATGCTACAGAAAGCAAGCTTAACTTAAAAGACATTATTTTACCTCTCGCACGAATAAAACGACTTATGAAAGTAGAAGAAGGAGTAAGAATGGTTGCATCAGAAGTTCCTATAATTTTTAGTTTAGTGGCTGAAAAATTTGTTGAAGAACTAACGCTACGAGCGTGGATTAATACTGAAGAAAATAAAAGACGGATTTTACAACTGAATGATATTTCTGTAGCAGTAAAAACATCTGAGATGTACGATTTTTTGGTTTATGTCGTGCCCAGATGTGAAATGAACAATGTTTTTGATAGAATGCTTGGATCTAGTGATAAATTATATCAGCATATTCCTGTTGTGCTTGGGAAATCGCCAATGTCCCTAAAAAATAATATGTGCTCGTCTTTTAAAAATAACGACCAGTGTAATTTAAGCATAGAATACATAATGAATAAAAAAAAAGATGAAGAAGATACAAAGGATATGTAAATAAATAGATAAATAAATTAATATTCTTATTATTTAATATTTTTACCCATATGGAAATACTTATTATTATTAATGAAAAAAATGACCTAGTATATAAACAATCTTTTCCTTCTTGTCAAAAATTAGATAAAATATTTATGGATCTATTAGTGGTCAGTTATGGATCAATAGACATATTAAATAATTTATTGAAATCTACTACCGCAAATTATTTAGGATGTATTGATACTTTTAAAGATTATAAAATTAGTGCTTTAATTTATCCTTCAGCTTATAAATGTATTTTTGTGCACAAACAGTCCAAAGACATAAAGAAATTTATGTTTGATGTTTATTATTTAATCAAGTATATGATTATTTATGAAATAACAGACTATTCTAGAGAAATTGAAGGAGTTGAACAAAATATCATTAATTTGTATAAAAAATACTACAAACTTAACTAATTTATCTTTAAAAATAAATATCTTTTTATGCATATGTTTATTGTTTTTTTACCCATAGATGTACACAGAAATAATTCACAATATAAATAAAAAATTTATCGATTTACAATCGGTCTTATCTACAATTATTCCGCTACAAAAAATATCCAAAAATCCTACAGATATTTTTAGAAGTGAATTTGATAACATTTTAAAATGTATTGATGACATAACTAATAAATTTACTGGTGTTAGAAATAACCTTATTGATGAATGTGTAAAATTAGAAAAAAGTATATATTTAAAATGTGAGGTACTTAAAATTGATATGCCTAGAATGCCTAACATTTGTAATCTTTACTTTAAAAAAGAATATTTAATGATTGAGTTGAGTAAAATTAATCTTTTAGAAAAATATAGATTAAGAGAGATAAATTATTGGGTTAATAAAAGTAAAAAACTGCACTATGAGCTTTACAATGACGATTTCTTACTCGAAATAATTGAACCTTCAATAATGTATTTAGAAAATTTAAAAAAATTATATAAATCTTTAAAACAAGATAAAGAAAAAAAAGACATACAAAAAAAAGAACTTGTTAAGGATCTACAAAGTTTTTACAAAAAATTAGAAATAAATGAAAAAGTGTCAATTTATGATAGATTTGTTATTCTAGAAGAAAAATATAAAACTCATAAAAATATGTGCATAAACCGCCAAAAAGAATTAAATGTAATTAAGCAAGAAATTCATGATAAAGAAAATTTACTAAATTTTCCACTTACACGCTTTTTAGATTTACTTTCCGACAGATACATTGGTGAACTTAAAGAACGTTGCTACTATTTACAAAATGAATATGAAAAAAAAGTGGAAGAAATTTATTCTGAACATTTTTCTACTTTAAAAAATTTATTATTTTTATTTGGCATGAAATTAGAAATTTATGAAAAGAATGATAAAGGTCTTTTACAAATTAAAAATAGAATTAAAGATTTAGAATCTAAAAAAGATCTTTTTCTAGAAATTAATAATTTAATAAACAATAGATATGCACTTTTAGAAAGGATGAATGAGTTTGAAAAAATTGCTAGTGATCCAAAGAGATTATTTAAAAGTAGTTTTCAGCTAAATAGAGAAGAAAAATTTAGGAAAAATGCTTTTCCATCACTTTTAAAACTAGAAACCGAATTAATAGATAAATTAAAAGAATACACAGAAAAATATGGGATATTCTATAAAAATGAAGAAAATTACGAAAATGTGTTAAAAGCAGAGATAGAAGGACGAATTATTAATAAGACGGTGTTTATCAACAAATACGATTCTCCATACAAAAAGAAAAAGATGTAATAACCATACAAAATTAAAGAGAATAGAGTTATACAAAAATAAAGAAAGTTAAGTTATAAAAAGATTAGGAAATTAAGTTATACAAAAATAAAGATTTAATATATATTTAAAAATACATAAAATAGAGTTTTACAAAAATGAAGATAAATAATTTAACAAAAGTAAAGAAAATTAAGTTTTACAAAAAGAAGAAGTCAAAATACCCTTAAAAAGATAAAGAAGTTGTTTTTTTACCCCCTAATGATTTTTCCTGAAGATGTCTCTTATAAAGTTTATCACACAAACTTTAAGAAATCTGATACAATTATTATAGACAATGGGACATATGAAATTAAAGCGGGTTATAAAGGTGACAAGCTTGCATTAAAATTTTTAAATTGTTTTTATAAAGATATAGATGGATTTAAATTTATGAGTGTTAAAGGTAAAAATAAGTATACACCCTTTACACATGACATGATTTCAGGTTTTCATGCCCTAGAAGAAAATTTTGATCAAATTTTTGAATATTTAGATGTACAAGAATGTAATAAACTTATTATCACAGATTCTATTTACAGCCCCACAAAAAAAGATTTGCTAAAATTTTTATTTGATGTGTATCATTTTAAAGAAATACAAATTGGTGTAGATGCAATTTATTCAGGACTTCATAATAATATTTATGATGGCATTATTATTTCCCTTGGAAATATTTCCATTTGTGTATACGTTGTTAAAAATAAGAAGATACTAGATGTTTATAAAATAAATTATGGAGGCAAATTTGCTCTTCAGTATTTAACAAATATTTTGAGATACAAATTTAAAGAATCAAATAAAGATTATAAGAACTTACTTAATTATCTAAAATGTGCAAAAGATTATGATCAAGAAGTATTTGAATTAATTAATAAAATGAAAGTACAAGATTATAAAGACAGTGTTTGTATTAGTTCTATTGAAGAAGATAAATGCGATGACGTGCCAGTAGACCCAGAAAAAAGAAATAGAATGATTGAAAGATTAAGAAACATTAATAGAAAAACAAAAATCAAAGAAGAAATAGGTGATGAAAGTACATCTGAAGATAATCCAAGCTCTGAAAGTACAATACCCGATGAAGAAGAACATCTTTCTACAATTAGTGAGGAAAAAGAAACTAAAGAAAAAAGAAATATGCCAGGAATGTATAAAATAAGATTATATCAATTTAATGCAAAGATACAAAAAATATTTAAAAGGTTAGCTAGAAGCATTGAAAAAAACGAGGAAGAATATGAAAAAGAAACCAATCTGTCATCCTGGCTTACTAAAAAAAAATTAAAATATGAGAAGATCTGTAGAGAAATTGAATTGAGAGATAAACTTCGAAAAGACTCTACAAATAGAAAAACGTACGAATTTGGTTTGCTTTTAAAAACAGGAGAACTGACCAGTGAAGAGGTAGAATATAAAAAGAAAATTAAAGATGCAGAGAATTTAAAAATAGATGAAAAATTGAATGTTGAAAAAGAAGATCTTTTAGATCTAATTAGTAATTATGATAGTAATTACATTTTAAATACATCTACTATGTTTGATCTTGTCACATGTAAAAATTTAGATAAAATTATTATTAATATTGATTTATTTAGAGTGGCTGAAGTTATTTTTGAACCTAGTTTAGTAGGTAGTGATCAGATGGGTCTTGGAGAAATATTAGAAATTTTATTTAAATCTTATAAAGATATTACTAATGTTTTTATTACTGGAGGATTTAGTCAAATTTATGGACTTAAAGAAAGGCTTGAATTTGAATGTAAAAAATATGCATACAGAAATGATATTGTTATAAAAATGGCGGAGAATCCTGTAGATGATGCGTTTAATGGTGCAAGATTTTATGAAATGTTTGAAACATATAAATATGAAGATTATTTAAATGGTATTTATGATTCATAATTAAATATGAAAAGTGTTTATTTTACTTATTAATTTTTATTGATCATTTAAGCTTAATTGTTTTAAATAATATATTTTATTATGTAATTGGATTTTTAAATTAAATTGTTTTACAGTGTGTAAAATTGATTAATAAAATTTATGAGTTTAATTACACAAATAAATTAAAAAGTTGTTGTGCAATTAAATGAAGATCTAATTTATTATTTAATCAATTCTTCTCTAAAATATAACAAGGAAGTAATTATTATTAAATGTTACAAAGTCAATTTCTATTAATATCTTACATTATATTAAAGAGATCATAAGTAATGTAATTAGTACAGTTTATTTTTTTTACTTAATGGTCAACGTATAGAATTTTTTAAAATTTACTTAATAAAAAAGTGCATAGCTTTTTTATATTGTTATATTTATTATATTCAATTTTCTAAAAAATTAAAATTTTATATGAAAGCATTTTATAAGAAAGCATTTTATAGATATTAAAAAAACAATATAATTAGTTTGATGGCTTTTATTTTGTAAAATATATTTTTATTACTTGCAACCTGTAGATATTATAGTATTTATTTTAGAGTTGTACAGTGTTTTTCTTATATATAGTATTATTTGATATTTTTAATTTTTAAGATCCCGTAGTGTAATGGTTATCACCTTGGACTTTGAATCCAATAATCCGAGTTCGAATCTCGGCGGGATCACTTTTTGTTTTTTTTTCAATGCAAACCAATAAATAAAAAAATACTGTTAAATTTTTAGATCTTAAAAATTTTTAACCCATAAAATGAACACTCTTGAAAAAATCAAAGAAATAGAGAATGAAATAGCGAGAACACAAAAAAATAAAGCCACAAATAATCATATCGGTATTTTAAAAGCCAAGATAGCCAAGTTAAGACGTGAACTTATTGCTGCACCACGTGCATCTGGCGGGGGAGAGGCTGGTTTTGATGTTTCTAAAACTGGTATAGCACGTATTGGGTTTATAGGATTCCCCAGTGTAGGTAAAAGTACTTTTATGTCACAATTAACAGGCATTCATAGTGAAGTAGCGGAATATGAATTTACAACTCTAACAGCTATACCTGGTGTTATTACTTATAATGGTGCTAAGATACAAATATTAGATTTACCTGGTATTATTGAAGGAGCTAAAGATGGTAAAGGAAGAGGTAGACAAGTACTGGGTGTAGCTCGTACATGCTCTTTACTAGTAATCTGCTTGGATGTTTTAAAGCCTCTTACGCACAAGAGGTTGATTGAAAAAGAGCTAGAATCGTTTGGTATACGATTAAATAAGAATCCACCCAAAATAAAAATTAGTCGTGCTGATCGTGGTGGTTTAATGTTAAAGGGTAATCATTTAGATTACAGCACTGTTAAATCCGTTTTAGCTGAATTTAGAATAAGTAATGCAGAAGTTATTACTAATGAACCGTGTACAATTGATGATTTAATTGATACAATAGAAGGAAATAGGAAATATGTGCCTTGTATTTATGTTTTAAATAAAATTGATGCGATTTCGGTTGAAGAATTAGATATTATTTATAGGATCCCGCATGCTGTGCCTATTTGTGCGAATCTTAAATGGAATTTTGACGTTTTTCTTAAAAAAGCGTGGGAATATTTAGATCTAATAAGAGTGTTTCCTAAACCGAAAGGACAAACAATTGATTATGATGAACCAGTTATCTTACGTAATAATAAAAGGAAGATAGAAGATTTTTGTAATAGCATTCATAGAGAAATTATAAAAAAGTTTAAATATGCTTTAGTGTGGGGAAAGAGTGTTAAGCACAATCCGCAGAAAGTTGGTAAAGATCATGTTTTAGATGATTGTGATGTGGTACAAATAGTTAAAGAAATATAAATAAAATTTTTATAATTATTTTATTTTAGTGTATACGATTTAAAAATATTGGTTGGTGAAAAATATAAAAATATTGATAAGTGAAAATTTAAAAATATGCAATTTGTAACGTACAATATCAAAAATATTTATAAGTCCAAATTATAAAAATTGAAGTTTTTAAAATACAATATCAAAAAATATGCAATTTGTATTGTGCGTCGTATTGATAAATGTTAAAACCTAAATACATAAATAAGTTATGTTGAAACTTACATGTAAAAACAAGTCAATCTAAATAAGATACCTTACATTTTTCGCTTTTCAAATGTAAACCCTACTTTTTATAAAATTACCATATCTCATAATTAAATGTTATTTTTAGAAGCCCTGTAAATGGAGAAGCTTCCAAATAAAGATATTGAAAGAATGATTACATTTATAAAACACGAGGCAGAAGAAAAAGTCAAAGAAATAGAAATTAAGGCCATCCAAGAGTACAACATTGAAAAGGCCAGGTTAGTTAAACAAGAAGTTGACACTGTTGAGAAAGATTTCAAAAATAAACAAAAAAATCTTGAAATTCGCAAACTGTGCGAGGAGTCAAACATAATAAATAAATATAAATTACAATACACCAACCAAAAAAATAATATTCTTACTGAAATTTTTAACGATCTCGAGAAGCAATCGTCTAGTGAAAAACTGACTGAAGATTTACTTCAAGAAGCTGTTAATAAAATTAACAGTAAAGATTTTACTGTAATGTGTTTAGAAAGGGATAAAAAAGTGGTGCGAAAAGTATTAGGAAATGTAGAGATCAAAGAATTGCCTGTGTTTGCTTTAGGCGGAGTTATTATTGTTAGTAGAGATAAGAAATTAGTTATAGATAACTCATATAAATCACGTATTGAATCTATAAAAAAATATTACTGTAATGAACTAAATAATTTTATATTTTCTAAATAAAATAATTAGCATACATTGTTTAAACTTTTACCTGATGCTGGTGCATACATTGTATGGTCATATGTAGACATTTTGCTAAATTAAAATGAATTATGTTATCTTCATAATTAGTGCACTATTTTTCTGATCTAACAAAATACAACTTGTTATGTTATGTTCCCTTTAAAAAGTCGTTATTTTTTTACATAAAAATACATTTATTTAAATCAGGTAATTCATTTATTTTATATGGTCTTTGTGTGATATATTGATCTTCTATGGGTTTTTATTCTCTAGCTATGCCTATTAATAAATAGATTATAGATATTGCAAATTCAGTGTTATTTCTAACAATAAAATTGTACTGTAAAAAAATTAACTATTATTTAAATATTAGCAAATCAATTAAAGTTGGTTGATTTTATTGTTATATTTTTATCCTATTATGAAATTTTAACTTTTAAAATTACACACTAAAATTTATTTTATTCTAATTTTTACTTTTACAAATATTTTATTAAATTTAAAATTTTCTACATGGAACTTACAACACACAGTACTTAAAAGCTTTATTTCTTAAATTAACTTCAAATTTTTAACATATAACCTTATAGTGTTACAATTATATTGCAACACTATAAGGATGTAAAATTTTTATTTTTTTACAATCCCTAAGAGAATTTAATAGACACTTATTAACAATAAACTATAGCGAAATGAAGAGTAAACTAAAGCGAGATGAAGAACAACTTATAGTGATTAAAGGACAACTTACAGTAAGTAAAGGACAACTTACGGTGAAATGAAGAATAACTTACGGTAGTAAACAATAAGTTAAATAAAATAAACACCAACTTAGAATAAGTAAAAAACAACTTACAGTAAGTAAAGAACAGCTTACAGTAAGTAAACAATAACTTACAGTAAAATAACAATAACTTAAAGTAAGTAAACATTTTTAGTGCAAGCTTTTAATACAAAAATTATTAACATAGATAATTAATAAATTTTCTTATTAACTTTTTCATGTCAATTTCTGTGTACTATAAAAATTTAAATTTAATTACTAAACCCTTCTTTAGTCGTTTAATTTTACTTTGTCATTGGTTGTTCGATGTGCAATTAAAAAATTAAATTTTTATAACGATTTAAAAAATAAAAAAAAGAAAGTGCATGAAGGATAATAACATTAACCGTGAAATTTCTTTTATATTACAAAATTCAGAAAATCGCACAAAAACTTTTAAAAGAGGATATTATTGTTTTAAAAGCAATATATCACATATTTGTATATTTTACTCTGCCATGGAAGATGTCTGGGTAGCTGTACTAATTAATGGTTGGATTAAAATTAATAATAGAATCTTGGGAAATGAAGCTTTGGCTCTTATTGAACCACAATGTATTATTGAAATTGATAAAGAACAATATATTTTTTATTCATACACCAATCAGACTAAAGCAGCCAGTAAAGTAGTAACTGAATTAATAAGTAATGCAGATGAGAAAAAAGTTTATAAAGAAGATATTTTGTTTTATTTGTCAAATTTAAGAAACATTTTAGATCTTGAGTCATATTTCGAAATACTTATGCAAAATCCAGTATTTGAAAGAGATGAAAATGGATTAATTAAAATGAATTATTTTATTTATGGATTGTACAGATATTACGATATAAGGTTTTTACTTTTAGCAGAATTTAAATATTATATGAACATTGGTAAAATGTTTTATATTATAGAATTTCAAAATTTCTTTTGTAATAGTAGTACTTATGATTATTTACAAAAAAACCTTTTTAAGTGTAAAAATGGTACTTATACTATTCCTGAATATCTTTACGATTTAGTAGGACATTTTTATATAGACCGATTAAGATATCCTGATTGTGAAACTTTTGAAATTTGTAGAATATGGAAATCTTATTACGATTTGGGTGATCAATATAATACCCCTAATTTGAAAAAAATAAAAATAGATATATTTGAAGATTTTAATATAAAAAAGTGCTGCAAATCCGATGAACACAGTGGTGAAAAGATTAGTCAATTCCATGATGTGCCTGTGTACATGGAAATGAACTTACTTAGGAATTGTTTTAAAGGTATTGGACGGACACATAAACGCGATAGAAAACAAAAGAAACGATCACATAGTCTTGTAGAAGATCGAGGTAGTATTAACGATAAAGTATGGATGTTTGAAAAAAGACCAAACGATATCTAAATAATACTTGAAAAATAGAATTGTTAAATTATCTAAAAAACTTTAGATAATTTACAATTACGGTCAATTTTTTAGATCTAAAGTACAATGTTATGATTAAGTTTTAGTCTGTTAAAAATTTTATAGAGTTTATTTCTAACTAAATGTAACAATTTGTTATAACTTAGTTTGTTATGCTAATTATTTATGATTGTGTTTATAAAATAGATGATTTTTACTAAATTTTGTTTACTAACAACTTATTATAATAAATATATTTTTACCTCACATTTAATCAAACTACATTAACTTTTTTACGCTAAGAATTTAAGTATTTTTTATTATATTTTTTATTTATTAAATTAATTATGTATTTTTTAAATATAATTTGAGACATAACATATTTCAAGGTAGAAGAATATTTCTGTTACAAAAATCTTGTAATTATATTTACAAGAAACTTATAATAATTTATTTTTTTGATTTCACAAATGATTATTTCTTATTAAAAAAGTCTACATTAATATATTTACACATTCCTTATAAATTAACAATCTGAAACTTTTGTTATAAATTTATTCTTTATTTATTTTGCATGGTCATACAAGTTGTTTTATATTTACTCTACACTTTTGTATCTTCTCGAGAAGTTAAGTTTAAGATACATGATGATATTAAATCATTTGCTGTAGCTGAATGTAGCGAAAATGGCAGAATGATTAGAAATGTGCCATTTGAACACATAAAATTAGCTAAACGTGATTTTAAACTAAGAATAGGTTATGAATTTATTAAGAAAGTTGAAACTGTTATTTATGCAGATATAAATGATAAAAATATAAATGAAGATAAATTATATCGTTTATTAATTTACAAAGGGAACAAAAATATTGAAGCCTCTGCACCTCTTCCACTTACAGAAATATTTTCTGAAAATAGTGATATTGGTATGTTTGAGCCAGTTGATATAAATGAGATCCCCAGTGAGTCAGCAGATACATTAATAATTGGTAATGTAATGAATAATGATAAAATATTTGCATTAGATTAATAAAATCTCATTTTATATTAAATAATTAAATTAATTAATTTTTATTTAAGAAATGTAAGTTCTTCAAATTTTTAATAGTACATAAATCTTGTATTTAAATTACATTACAGTTTTAATTAAAAGATTTTGACATTGTAATAAAAAAATAATTTAGATAAAAATTTTGTAATTAGTTATTCCTTAACTTACATTGTCTTTTAACAATAATATTTAAAAAAACTAATTGTTTGTATTTATAGAAATCAATAGTTTTTTTACAGTGTAAATTAATAATTTACAAAGAATTATAAGTAATATTTATTAACAAGTAGCATCTTATAGATTTAAAAAACTTAACATTAATGAATTTTAGAATGTAAAAATATTCTCTTTTATTTACCACATTTTTTTAAATATTTCTAAGATCTTAGATGCAATAACTTTTTATAAAGATAACATTTTTATAACACAAATCACACAGGAGAGCTTTAAAGGTCCCCTTTTGAACAAATTGAATTTTTTCTTAACCACCAATTTTCATAAACACAATGAAGAGAAAGGATGAAAAATTTGAAGATATTTTTACAATTTTTGAAGATGAAGTGCATAAAAAGCTGTCTGGAATTATTTGTTTTTATTTTTAAGGAAAAAAAACAGTTAGACAGGAAATTATAAAAATGTTATACGTGCACGAAGAAAAAATGCAGAAGAATGGCGCTACTTTGTAAGAAAAAATCATATTTATGGAAAATTATGCTGGAAAGTAATTTGCAGAATTATCTTTTAATTTTGTATATAAATTTTGTTAAAGCTATATGTTCAATAATTGGTGTTAGCAATAAAACAGTTACAAAATATTTAAGAAAGTTGGTCACTATCTAACAAAACCCCAGATGATAGGTGGAGAAGGTATTGTTGTTGAAATAGACGGAAGTAAATTTGGCTGACGGAAGTATAACCGTGGCCATAGAGTTGACGGCGTTTGGATGTTTGACAAAACACATGAACGGCGCATTGTTTTACTTCGCTTTAAAAAACGAGATAAATTAACTCTTAGTACCTTTGTCACCAAAGGAAGTGTTATACATACAGATAAGTCGAAAAGTTGTAGTGGGTTAATTTCTCTTAGATACAAACATTATACAGTTAATTATAGTAAAAATTTTAAGGATACAGAAATCGGTACACACACGAATACTTTTGGTAAAAGTTGGTGTGCTATAAAGAGAACAATTCTTGCAAGAAAAAGAATTATAATCTTATCAAACCTTACCTTAAAATCTTTACATTTTAAGACTTTTTACAGAAAGAAAATTTTGAACTTTTATTAGACTACTATAAAAATATTAAAAAATGACTATTTGCTTTCAAGAATATCTTTAAATTTAATCACAAGAACACAAAGAAGAGTCAAAATCTGAAAACAATTTAAATTTTTATTAATTTAAATTATTTTCAGATTTTGACTCTTCATTGTGTGTATGAAAATTGGGGGTTAAAAAAAAATTAAACCCCCATAAAAAAACTTTTAAAGAATTCTTTAGCCAACATAAATTTGTAAGAATTTTTTAAATTATTTGCATAACTTTTAAATATTAGCTTACTTATAAAAATAGTATCAATTTATTACAAATCTAAATTATTCTAATTACATTTTTTTAAAAAATAAATTTTTATGCTTCCCTATAAATGAAAATAAAAAAGGAAATAAGCATAAATCTTACAAATTCAAATTTGAATATTTACAAGTTAGGACCTTTGATTAATAAAGTAAAAATAAGTTCTGTAAATGTTAAACCAGAAGGAAATTATTTAGAACTAGAGTATGAAACACCAAAGTATAATACTTCTTTACTACGAAATAAATCAGATAAAATAATATTATATTCATATGGATTTAATCCAGTATCATCATATTATCTTTTAAAAGGATTAGATGATGAAGAATGTAATAAACAAAATGTATATAAACTTAATTCTATATACAAATTTAATACAAAATTTAAAGAAGAGTTATCTGATAAAGCAACTTTACAGTTCCGTAAAGTTGAAAGCAGAGAAGAAATAGAGCACAGAAAAAGAAATATAAATTATAAACTAAAAGTAATAGAAAATGAACCATTTAAAAAATTAGAATATAAACAAGTAGAAAGAAATATAAATAAAGTATTATCTGTACAATCTAAAAGTACTAGTACGATTAAATATCTTGAAAATATTAGTGTTTTTGATAATAGAAAAATAGAAAGATGTATAAAAAATAGAGTTGTAGTAAATTTAAATGATCTTTATAAACTATTTCCTAACCATCAAGAAGATGTAAAATTATGTTTACAAAAACTTACTTTTTATTTCAAAGGTAGATACATTTTAAAAGATAAATTTTATGATAAAAATTTACAGAAAATAAGGAAAGAAATATTAGAAGCTTTTGAAAATTCTGATAGTATAAATTTTTATAATTTATCTACAGATTATAATAATATGTTACATGAATTATGTACTAAACAAAGTAATAAATATATCCTTAAAGGTATATTTGAAGAAAAAGTGATAGATTTCAAAAATATAAATTTAGTAAATAAATTAAAAGATAAATGTATATTTACACTACAAGAAATAAAAGAAATATCAGGATTAGATATAGAAGATGTGTATAAATTTATATTAGAAAATGATATACAAGAAATTATTAATAATTTTTATTGTGTCTATAAAAGCCAAGAAATTGAAGAAGTTTTAAAAATTTATGAAAAGGGAAATATTAAGAAATCAGAAATTAATGATTTACTAAATTCGAAAGAATTAAATACAGAAGACTTTTTTAAAGCTCTAGACTTCTTTTTTGTGTTAAAAAGAAGTACATGGGTTAAAAAGTAAATTTAAGATAAAGTTTTTACACCCCCTTATGGAAAATAATTATGGAAATTTTGTACGTTTATTGATGTACAATCACAGCAAAAATATAACTACAAAAAAAGCAGATTTAAAATACGCATTTAAGATACAGAATAAAGACATTGCTTATTTGATAAATTATGCTAAAAGTAAAATAAATTTATTAGGATTGGAACTAGTAGGTATTAATAAAAATAAAGTAGTAGATCCTATTTCTAGTGAAAAATATTCTCTAAGGAGGCTGTATCCTCTTGAAAGTGATAAATCTTCTACTGTATCTGATTTGGATAAAAAAATTATTATTGTTTTATTTTTCATTTTTTTAGAAGGTGGACAAATTGGGTACGTAAAACTTATTTACTTTTGTAAGAAGATTAATTTATTTAAAAATGATTCACTTGATGATTATTTGATGTTTTTAAAGAGAGAAAAATATATAAATATTTTTAAATTAGAAGATGAAATGAATGTAGAGTTTGGATATAGATATTTTTTAGAATATAATGAATTTGATATGTTAAGTTTTTTAGAGTAGAAGGGATTTTTTTTAAATTTTTAGAATATAATAAAATTTTTATAAATTTTTTAGACTAGAAGGAATTTTTAATAAAATATGTAGTAGATGTTGTTGGTTATAAGGATTTTTTATATTTTAAATTTTTACTAAATAATTAATAACTGTTTTTAAGTTGTATCTTTTTACTGTAAAAAAATTAATACATCACTTAGGGTTGTGCAATTTATGCGTTTTAATCTTGTTATAGAATCAATATAAAATTATTTACTATAATTTTTTTTAACCTAACTAATCTATTTTTAATTTTTATCTGTGCTTTATGCACTAATATTTATTTTTTATTTGTTATTTTTCAATACACATTTTTTATATAAAAAATTCATAATTTAAATCATACACACAATTTAAAAACATGTACAATCTGCTATGCACCAAATAATATAAATATCCTTTAAAAATTAAAGACATCTAATAAAAATAAGATAAATGTAAAAATATCTTTTTTTAACCCCTAGATGATTAATTTAGAAGATTTTTATGAAGACATCCCTTTAGCCCATCAATATTTTGCACAGGGAGAATTTGAAAAAGCTATAGACATTTACAGTGGTATTCTAAATAAGATAAATCCAGATGAAGAGACTGTACCATATTTGTACATAAATTATGCTAATTGCCTGATAAAAAATAGTAATCAATATTTTCTTGAGGAAATCCAAAATATACATTCTGGATTTGATTTATCTGAAAGGCAGATTATAGAAAACGATCTTGAGATGGCATGGAATATGTTAGAAAGTTGCAGATCATTTTTTACAATCTTAAAGGAAGACTTCTTGCTCGGTAAAACTTTTTTCCTTCTGGGAGAAATTTCTTTACTCAACAATGAATTTAGAGATGCCTTAAGAGATTTTATAGAATGCGAAAATATTTATAAAAAGTTACAAGCAGATTGTACTGAATATATTGATCTATATTTTAGTATGTCTAATGCTTATGAATTCTTGGAAGATTATGATATGGCTATTAAGATGTTAAGAGACCTTGTGGAGATATTTAAAAAATCTAATTTAGACTATTTAGATCTTCTAGATAGAATAGTAGAAATAAAATCTAAAAAAGATAAACCTGTTGTAGAAAATAAAGAAGAATTTGAAGATTTAAGTGAAGTAAAAGATATAAATAAAAATAAAAAGAGAATTCTTTAAGGAATTGTTCAGTAGTAGGGTGTAGTACAGCACTTTTGATTTTAATTAATAATATACTTTATTCAGTTATAGTTATATTACTTTCCTTAACAATCAACTCACTCCCCGTTTTTAACATTATAAATACAATATCTTGATACTTATAAATTAAATTAATACTACTAGAAATTATAAATAAATTAAATGTTTCCTCATAAAAAAAGTCATAGTCTGTTGTAAAATTAAAATTATGACACTCTAAATATACTGGTATATCTTTAATATCGGTTATTACCGCTTTATTAAGAATACATATTTTAAATATATTAATATTTAATATTCTAGGCCAAGAGTCTTTTATTTCGTATGGATTTTTAGATTCAACATTGACGGTAAAAAAAGACGATTTTTCGCACGGTACGTTTTTTATAGAAAAATTGGGATATTTTTCCGTAGACGTAAAAGCTATATTTGACTTATTCTTTATCTGCATGTCACTATGTTTATATACCTGTTTTTCGTTATTCGTACATCCTGTTACAACAAATACATCTCCTTTTTTACAACCTTTTAAATGTAAAAAAATATTTTTGTAAGGTGTACCTTCTATTTTAATTATTCCTGTAGGATCTTCAATCACTTTAGTATCATTTTTGTCTGTATATACATATCCAAAAATATAAACAGGGGATTTATCAACCTGTTTAATATCAGTTAAATCACTATAACGAGATCGTAATATTTTAAATTGTGCGAGAAGAGAAAAATATTCGTACTTTTTATATACGATTTTACAATTTTTATATATTATATCGTTTAAGGCATTTATGTCTAGTAAGGATGTAGAAGACATCTGTTTGTACTCTTTAATTATATCATTTATATCTAATTCTGTGCTTTTTAGTAACTGTAAGGCTTCTTTTGACAGTTTTATATTATTTTTTAGTGTAAATAAATTGTATATTTCTTTGGCATCTGTCATGGGGCAAAATTATAAATTTAGGTGAATGTACATTTTATTATAAGTTAATTTATACAACTAATGTATATTTAATTTAATGTAGTAAGATGATTGTAAAAATAATTTTTAAACAGTTTTATATTTAACAAAATGTAATAAAACGATTATTCGAATAATTTTATATTTAACAAAATGTAATAAAATAATTTTTTAAACAGTTTTATATTTAACAAAATGCTATGAATTTGACTTATTAAAATCATTATTCAAATAATTTCTATATTTAATAAAATGTAATAAAACGATTGTAAAAATTATTTTACGTCTTAAAAAGTACACAATAATTTTTTATTTATTTTGTCTTTTTTGTCTCTTTTTTTGACTTCTCTAATAAATTGTTATATTTATCTAACAATACAAAATATTCTTTCTGATTATTTTTATACTGTTTAATTACTATATCTTTACTTACTATTAATTTATTCAAATCTCTAATATTGTCTTTAAGTTCATTAATCTCTGCATTTTTGTCATTCGTAGTATTTATTATTGTGTCTACGTATGTTTGAGAATTCTTAATCTGCTTCTTAAGAACATTTACTGCCTCTTCTTCTTTATAAAGTGTGTTTAACATATTAACAAATATTTTAAGAATAAGCGATAAATATAGTGTAAACCCTGTCAAATAAACATTTCTTTCTGTATGGTACACAACATCATAAGGAATATTCATATTTAACTTTAAAACTGCATCTATAAACATAATCAAAATCATGGCATAAACGACATACAACAGGTGAATAAGTGGCCGGAAAACCCTTGAGGTAAAAAGAGTATTAATTACAGCCTTTTTACACTTTTTAGGTAAAGGAATAATAAGAAGTGTAAAAAGTACCATTTCTGAATAAAGAACTGATTGAACTAGTCTGGTTGTGATACCCATAAATTTATGGGGTTGAAAACATAAAAATATTTAGAACTAAAAAACCTTTAGGACTATAAATTGGCGCAAAATTGCACAAATTTTATTAATCATAAAAGGATTAAACACAAATGACCTGTCAATAAGAAAAACAAAAACATTTTGCAAAAAAAATAAATTTTTATTTTTTTACCCCTAAAATGGAAAATGTGTATCCGATTTATGAGAAAGTAGAATTCGAAGAAATTTATGGTAAAAAAAGACCTAATGCTTCACCAGTCTTAAATACTCCTACTTTTATGTTTGATAATTTAGAAAAAACATCTTATAAATACACTAGTGGTGTAAAATATAAATGGTTTAAAAAAAAAGAAATTAGTCAATATGAAAAAAATTATTTTTTAGAAACAAATAATTATTTAGAGATTAGAAATTATATTATTGAAAAATATGAAGCCTGTATGGTATTTGTAACTTTAAATGAAATATGTAAGGAATTGAAAAATTTTAATTTTATGCAAATTTATAGGATTTATACTTTTTTAGATAAATTAAAAATAATAAATAACCGAGATGTAATACAAGAATGTACTGAAACAATAAAAAACATTGATTTTTTAGTAGAAAATAAACAGACTACTGATTGTGTACCTGTATTTACAGGAAGTGGTAAATGTAAATGCGAACAAGAAGGAGATTTTTTTTCAAAAAATAATATATTTATCTGTAAGAAGTGTCTTACATGTGGTGACTATCCAGAAAATATGAATACAAGTGATTTTTACAGAATTGAAAAAGAGGTAATTAATAAAATTTGGTCGAAAAAAGAAGAAATAAGACTATTAGAAGCTATTGAGAAATTTGGTGATGATTGGACAAGTGTATCAAATTACGTTGAGACAAAAAGTAAGCAAGAATGTATTTATCATTTTATTATGATTCCTTTACTAGAGGTAAATTTATCTAATATAGGATTTGCTACCCACATGCCTTTTCTGTTGTCCTCCAATCCTGTCACACACCTTTTGGTTTTTTTATCTTCTGTAATACATCCATCTGTTGCCGCAAGTGTAGCAAAAATGTGTATAAAGGAAATATCAAATTCGTCACATAATTTACTAAAAACAATGTTAATTGAAGCAAAACGTAAGGCTTTGGAAATTATTGAACTTGAAAATAAAAAAATCAAGCGCATTAATGACGTTATTGATGAATGTTTGACTAATTTAATTTTGCTGAAAGTTAAAAATTTAAAAAGACTATTTTCCAGCTTTGAAGTAGTAAAAGATGAGCTTATTGAGGCTCGTAAAAAATTATAAATTTTTTTGAAAATATGCAAGAAAACTTGTTAAGTGGTGAAACAAGCTGTGTTTGAATTTTTATTAATATGTATGCAATGTTCTTTTGTATTTAAATTTTGCTCAATAAAATTAATTTAACTAAAAAACGTCTTATCACATTATTCCCTCAAATTATTGTACATCTTCCCACATTCACAATATCTATTAATTTTTTAATATGTAATAAGAAATAAATGATATTTGAAATTAATAAAAAATCACATATATTTCAATTTTGGTAAATTACACAGTTGTGTTTTTGATTAAAAAGTTAAAGTTTATTTTTTTCAATTATGATTGATTTAACTCTTTTATGTACTATTTAATTCAATTAATTGTACTATTCTTTGTAATTTCAAGTATTTTTATTTGTCAAATATAATTAATTTTTAAGTGTCAAAAATTTGAATAATGTAGATTGTTTATACTTAAGTTACATAAGAGAAAAATAAAAATGATCGATAAACTTCTTACAGATATTATGTTATGTTATTTAATGAGAAATTTTATTGTTGCTATATTAAAAATATTTAAATTAAAAAAGTAAAAAATATGACAAAAATAATAAAGTTTAAAGATGTAAAAATATATTAAAAGAATGAATCATCATCATCAGATATATATCCTTCATCATCACCAAAATTAATCTCAACTTTGTATCTCAAAATTCCTCCAATTCCACCAAAGCCTTCAACAAATTGTGTACCCTCAGAACTTTTATTACTTACAAAGACCAGTGAACAACCGTAATTTTTATAATTTTCGGCAATCCAATCGACAAAAGATTCTTCTTCTTTTACATCCGGTAAATTTTCCCAAATAATCAAAGTATCCACTGCTCCTAGTTCGAGGCAATGTAATGTTTCTTTCATTGTAAAACAGTATTTTCCAGTATCTAAATTAATTTCTGTAAAAAAATCCTGCAATATTTTTTTCTCTTTAGAAAGTTTAACATCCTTCAAAACATCTTCACACAATTCAATGGCCTGGTTTAATCCACTTTCTGCACCATAATTTGTATCTACAGTTTTAATAACTTTTATACGTGTATCTAAAATGCGCGATAATTCGTTTTTTAAATCTGACTGACCAGCTAAAATTATTCCTTCCACGTTTAAAATATTATTTGTAAGATATAAATTAGAAATAATTTCCGATACTTTTTTAATATACGCCAGTCTTTTCTCTACGCGGAGCCTGGCAAATCTAACAGAGGATTGTCCACCACGCCCGTGCTTTTTAGGTAAATCAACATGTATTTGCTGTAGAATAGTTTTTACATTCCCTTGTAGACTAGCAAAAAGCGTAGTTTGTCCATCTATAACAACAACCCCATATTTAAACTCGTCTTCAAACAGTGCTAATAAATCGTCGACATGAAATTTAGAATCACACATATATAACGAAGTATTAACAGGTTTTATGGGTTCAATGCCCACACTTATCTTTTTTTCTTTGTTTTGATCGTTTAAAACAGTCCCTACAAAAATACCAAGACCGTTAGGAGGTGTCTCTTTATAAGTTTTTAGTTTATTCTGTGCACTTGTGATAGCACCCAGCACACTTAATCTATTAACTCTGGATTTAATATTTGAAGCTGTGCCGTATTCATCTGTTAACATTTTAGTGATTCTATGAATTTGGTCTTTTGGTGGTATAATAAGAGAAATCATAGATGTTCCATTTCCTCTACTATCTTTAAGAGTTCTAAGAAGTTTTTTCATTCTAAATAATTCGACTTCATCTAACATCAAGGGGTATAAAAACTTTTAATGTAAAAAATTTAAGCCGTCGTTAAATAAACCTTTTTACGTTGAATAGGTTTTAGTTAGATTTTAATTTAAGATTCATAAATTTTACACATTTAAAAAAGTCTTAAATTTAAAATTACAATTCTTGTATAAAGAATCGGAGCATTGCCATAAATAGCTTTTTTTAACGGTGTAAAACAATAAAAAAATTTATATCAATTTTCTACTTGATTTTTACATCATTCTCTTTAGATAGTATTGTTATACATAAAATTTAATAAAACGAAAAGATACTAATTGTAGAAATAGGTATCACCTCTATAGATAACCTGCACTAAGTGGAAACGAAAAAGTTGAGGAAATACGACCTTCTGGCCAATGAGTTGGTTTAATACATGGATGTAAGACGAAAATAATCCCCTATGTGCTAATATGGGACGGTAAAGTTACCAAATATCATACAGAGTACCGAAAGAGGCTAGATGTTACAAGCCGAATTGAGGTTTACATTTAACCTGTGACACTTAAGAAGACTCTTGAGAGTATCTCGTTGGAGTACCGAAAAAGAGGTAACTATTATGTACCAGAGAATGGGGGAGAGCTGAATCTATCACCAAATTTGTCCAGTGGTGTCACTGAAGCAATAAGTCAAATATAAAAGAAAAAACTAACCTATAAATAAGTAATTTATTATTGTAAACATAGAATTTAAAAAGCAAAAATTTATTGTAAACAAAAATTTAAAAAACAGCAATTTATTGTAAACATAAAATATAAGACTGCTCTAAATATTCCACTCCTTCTTCGGTAATTTTTTTGTCATTTACAAGGTAAAACGTGTTAGAATTTAACGCAAACCACATGTAATGTCCAGCATTCATATTCGTTCCTGTGTGTATAATAGAACCCTGTATTTTATAAACGGGATTGGTGCGGTGATTTTCTTTATATTTTATAATATTATCTTCGTTATTTTTAAAATTTATTTCTGAGCTAAGTGCTAAATATATCTCCTCTTTTTTAAAGTCTTTAGAAACCAATTCTTGAATAAAAAAATTCGATAATAACGGTTTTTTTAAAAAATCTAATAAATTTACTTCATCAACTCCAAGACTATCTACAATTTTTATTAACCTTTGATTCTCTATTTTACACCTACCTACTGTAGTAATAAGATATTTAGGAAGAGAAATTATACGATTAGAGATCAATTTCTCGTTTCCACATGTACATTCTGTCAAATGATCTTTAAAATGCTCCTTTATACTGTTTTGCAATGTATTTTTAAAAGGAATATTTACTACAAGATGTTCTTCTTGCGCCACTTTTTTATCTTTGCAGAAATTGCAACAAACCACATTTTCAATATTAATTAAAAAAAATTGAGAAATATTAGGAAAAATACCAAGAAATTCTCCTTCTCGAATAAGATCAAGATATAATATAAGAAATTCGTTAGCATCATGTTGAAGATTTTTTTCAAAAATTGTAAATTTACTCCATATTAATTTTATAAAGTCTACTATTGAAATATTGTCACCCTCTAAAGTTTTTTTCTGTTCCATCATTTTATTAAAAATTTTACACGATTGGCAGTAAATACAATTTAAAGGATTTTGTTCTTCACAGATTTTAAAATGTCGATTAAAATCGACATTTTCTTTAGAAACTATAAAACCTAACAATTGGAGTACTGAAGAAATGAAACATGTATTACCAGCATTTTTAATACCAATAAAAGGAGATTTTATATTTGATACAGACTCTTTTGCTGTATATTGACTGTCAATCCACGATTTTCCTGGCGCAGCAAATTCGACACAATTTATTTTTGATTCGCAAAATGGATTAATAACAAATTCGTTACAATTGTAGCAAAACGTATCGCACGAATATTCAGGAGTTATAGAAGAAATCAGAACAAAAATTGGATGCCCCAAGATTTTATAGTGTTGGTTTGCATGTCCATTTCCTTCAATACCATATTGTATTCTACCACAACCTATAAATCCACATGTAAAACAAATGTATAAATGTTTCGATACCTCGCAATCTGTACATTTTAAAGTGTCTAATTTACCGATAGATATTTTTTCTTTAAATTCAATATTAGCCAAATCAGGACATTCAACTTCGTTGTCTTTAAATATCACTTTTTCATCATAATTATTACACTTTAATATTAAACCTAGTCGTTCTAAAGCTTTTTGCATGTCTTCAGAAGACAAATCACAGTTTTTTATTTTTAATTTTTTGTTTTTTTCGACTCGGTACAAAAGTTCACATGAAGTTTTACGTACATGAAAATTAAAATGCCTATCACAAAATGATAGATAGCATTTACAAACATTAATTCCACAATCAATGCTTGAATAACAACAGCAGCAATTTTCCCTAAATTTGTAAAGTTTTAAAGTTTCCATCTAAGGATAAGAAAATTAACAATATTTTTTTACAAAATTATGTAAATTTTAATATTGAAATTTATACCTTAAACCTAAAAGATTAGCTAGATAATTTATTTTTAATAGAATTATTTGTAAATTAATCAAGTCTATAAAAAATGTTAAGACTGTATAAATATTAAAAAATATGTACAAATATTTTATCACCAGATTAACAATTTTTAATATTTTCTCTTGAAAGATATTTAGATTAATTAATTGTTTACATACTTTCGTATTCTCTATTAAAACCTTTAAACAGTGTATATATAACATTTTATTAATTGTATACAGCTATACCTTTAATCCAATTAACTCTAGTGATTAAATACACATTTTATAAACATAAACATAAGAATCAAAAAATTAAATTTTTTTATTGTGGAGATTTTCTTATAAATTTAAGTTTTAGTATAGAAATATTTATTTTGTAATGAGCAATGTACACTACAAATATATTATATACACTGATGTATTTTAGAATTTTAATTTTACTTTATTTTTATATTTTAAAAGATTTAGTAACTTTAAATGCTTTTCTTAAAATATAGCACTGTTAAAGAAAATGAATATGACACATACAATGTTTACATTTTATAAAAAATAACCTTTTTGCCATTCTTTTAATTCTCTTTTCTACAAAAAATCCCACAAGCAAGGCTTTTATGGCATGCTGGTGTGTAACATAAGTTATTGGATATTGAAATTTTACATGCTGTGTGGCCTTTCTTTGGTGTCCCAATAAATTTATTTTATTTTTTTATTCTACGAAAAAGAGAATTTAAAACTATCTTTAATCTTTAAAAAGATAATTTTATCAATCAACTTATATTTTACTGCTTTAATAAGTCAAATATTTTAAATCTGTCATTAATTTTATTTGGTACTATAATATTCTATGCATAAATAATTACATTATTTTTTATTTTCTTTCAAAATTTAGTAGAAGAAATATATTAATTTATAAATTATATTTTACCATATTGTAAATAATTTATATTTTTATAAAATATTAATTGATAATTTTGTTTACTTATTTAAAGATTTTAAATAAAATGTGCATAAAATAGATTTTTAAATTTAAAAAAATTCTGGCCCATGAAAAATATTGGAAATTTGGAAGTTTTTAAATATGAAAAAAAAGAAGGTTTATTTTTTGTAAATCCGCCGTACACAAAATTTTTAAAAAATGATATGCATAAAGAAATGAAAATACAAGAAGAGGATCTAGAAATTCTTATTAAAGATCTTTTACTTGTAAAAAATTGTAAAGTAGAAGAATATGAAAATGGAAGATGTACTAAAGAAGGATTTCCTGGTAATTGGAAAGATTTTACAGATTTGTGTTTAGATCATAGACTTCCACCATCTTTATGTAGCTTAAAAATAAGTGGTAATAAGGTTGATTTGTGTTTTATAAAAACAACAGAATCTTTTTTAAATACTTGTATATTTGAGGATGATGATGTATATAGCAATTTATATACAATATTATCAGAAATTAATGCTTATGAGATAATTTATGATGATAAAAATCTTGTATTTATAGAAAATATGGGTATTATTACTCATCTTTACGATAAAGCAGAGGATTCAGTTAAATTAATGAAGAAATTTCTAAAAATAGATTTAATAACCATTAAGCCTTATTTTAGACCTAATGTTTGTATTATTGATGATAATACTTTAGAAGCTTTAAATATACACTCATCTGAAAAATGTGTATTAAGTTTATTTAATTGTTATACAATTCAAGGAAAAAGACTTTTGTTACAATTTTTTAAACAACCATTAAAAAATATTGATGAGATTGAAGCACGTTTAGATATTATTGAAGTTCTAAGAGATATAGATTTTGATATTTTAAAAGATTTTCCTGATTTATTGAAAATAACTAAAAAAATAACTAAAATTTCTTTACTAGAAATACTTAAATTGCATCAAGTTACACAGAAGATTCCTATTCTTCTATCTAAAATGCAAAATCCATTATTAATTAATGATTTTTATACTCCGCTAAATAACATAAATATACGAAATATTTTAAATGACATAGAAGAAGTTATAGATGTTAAGAATTCACAAAGGAATATTATAAAATTTAATAAAAAAATCTGTAAAATTACGGAATTATATTCTTCGTTAGATGAAATTAATAAAAAGTGTCAAAATGAATACTTAAGATTAACAAAATTATCCGATAAAATTAAATATACGGAAGGAGAAGATTTTTTTAAAATAACAAGAATTGAATATAAAAAATCAGAATTGATACTAAAAAATAATAATGTTCTTGTTACGAGTGTATTAAAAACGGGAGTAAATTTTACGACTAAAAGAATGTCAGAGTTAAGTTTAGAAAGAAATAATATAAAAGAATGTATTAATAAAGAAACAAGTAAAATAGTAAATGATTTACGAAATAAAATACAAAAATATATAAATGAATTTGAAATATTTAATTATATTGTTGCACTAATAGATGTATTTAGTGCAATAGGAAGAAAAAGTAGGGATATTGGATATACTAGACCTAAATTTATAAATTACAGTAAGGAGATTAATGAAGATAAAAATTATTTTGATAATTCTTCTCAACTGGAAATTATTGACGGTTTTCATCCAATTTTAGAAGATAAAAATTTTATTACAAATTGTATAAAATTTGATAAAACAAGACTATGCATAATCACTGGACCTAATATGGGAGGTAAAAGTACATTTCTAAAAATGATAGGTGTAATATCTGTTTTGGCACAAGTCGGTTGTTATGTACCTGCTAAATATACAATACTACCTATATTTGATGGTATTTATATTCGAATAGGTGCGAATGATTGTACTTACAAAGGATCATCAACTTTTATGGTTGAAATGAAAGATATTGCTCGGATATGTAGAATGTGCACTAATAATTCATTAGTGCTTATTGATGAGTTGGGAAGAGGTACATCTGAAATTGATGGATTAAGCATAGCCAAAGCTGTAAGAGATTTTTTATTTGAAAAGAAATGTATTACTTTATTCGCCACACATTTTCCTGAACTGTGTGATGCAAAAACTTTAAATAAAAAAGCACAAGCTATTCAATTAGCACTTACATATAAAATAGTAGATGGAATATGTGATACATCATGGGGACTTAATGTTGCAAAACTGGTTAATTTCCCTGACTCAGTTATAAAAGAAATAGAAAACCAACAAAATTAATATAAAACCATATAGTGTTTATTTTGTAAATTATATTTCTAATTTATAAAATTCTTTCTCGTTATGTAAAACAACTTCATGTGTTCCAAGTACGAACTTTAGTCCATTTACTTGTTCACTAAAAATAACACACCCTGTTGTTATGTCATATACATCAACCCAACTTTTAGAAATGACAATAAGCTTTTTATAATAAATTTTAAAATCTACCGGCATACTTTTCCATAAAAATATTATATTCGTGTTTTTTACTCTTCCTAGTTTGTCTACATAGAATCCTATTGAATCGAAACACACAATAAACGTATCATAATCTACTGTAAAAACTGATCTGGCTTTTGAACTGGGTATCATTGATAGCAACATAGGAACACATGGATTGTATAACTCTAAAAAATCTTCCGTTTTTAATGTCTCCATATCAACTATCTCAAAATCTTTACAAGCTATAACTATTTTAGTTGGACAAAATATTATATTATACACTCTAAATCCTACATATAATTTTCGAGATAAATCTAATTTAACTTTTTTATCTTCTTTTGCAACTTGAAATAAATAAATTAAACTGGATTTACTACTACCGTAATTTCTTGTTGCTATAAATGATCCTCTAGTGTTTGTTCCATAAAAAAAATCTCCAATATTTTTTTTAATAGAAAAAGGTTTGATGCTATTCATTGTATTATTAAAATTACAGATACACAATGTTGAGCCAGATTGAAACATAAGAATTTCATATTGCGAATCATATAATACTTTTTTTGTAATCCCTTGATAAATCATTTTTTTATCATTTCCTAATATTTTAAAAATACCATTTTTAGTGGAAGCTATTAGCATGTCTTCTTGATTTTTTATATATTCAAAATCATCAGTGTGATCTTCTAAATTTTCATTTAAAACATGCGAAAATGTCTCTTGTCCATAACAGAGCTTTTTTATCCAAGAAGTTTGTTCAATAGCACCTTCATCTGAATCATCACTGCCTTCTTCTAGAATTTTGTTCTGTGACCTAAAAGTAGTAAAACTTTTGAATAAAGGCTCACTGCTTAAGAAATGTTTCTCTATTTTTTTTGTATATTCTTTCACTGCGCATCGAAATTCTTTTAATTTAAATAATTTTTCATTTGTAATAACATCTACGTCTGTTTCATTTTCATTTTGTTCACTAGTAGATTCTAAATCACTCATCGATTCGCTCATTTCAGCAAAAATAAATTTACTGGTTTGACACGCCGACAAAATATTCTGAAGGTTAATATTAATTTTTGTAAGCTTTAAATTTGTACAATAATTTTTTTTGATTGATAACAAAGCATCTGATAATATACTAATATAAATTTTTCGAACATCAAAATCTTCAAATAAAATTGTTATTAAATTGTTTTCAGATGTTTCTAATAAAAAAAGAGGAAAGTATTTATCTTCATCTCCTTCTAATTTATTAAATCCTACATTTATATCAAAAAATAATAATCTTTCTAAAAAGAGAGGATCTAATAATATTTTTTGAGTACTAAATTGTCCTTTCGAGCTTTCACAAAATAGAATACAATGATCAAAAAAATAAATTTTAGAGATTATTGGTGATGCCCAGATCTCAGATTTAATTAAAAACTCCCCTTCTTTAAGTAAAGCTCTTTTTTTTTGAAATAATCCTAAAGCTAACGGATTTTGAAGTCCATCAACATACTGTAATGATTGACTTAATCTGTAAATTTTAAATTGTCCGCTATAAAATTTAAATAAATTATCTACTTTCAATGTTACTTGCTTCAATTTGTCTATTAATAACTCATATTGAGCTTTAAACTCGTCATTTCCTTCATTTTTAAATATTGCTTTTAAAAGTAAAGGAAGTCTTGAAAGTTTAGTACTAGGCCTGTACAAAAAATTTCTGACGCCTAAATATTCAATTTTATTTTGTGCAAGGAAGTTATGTAATCCTTGTTTAAATTCTGGACTGTAATGACACACTCTTTCTAATTCATATTCCGCCTTAGGAAGTCGTGAAAAATATCTCTCATAAAAATTAATAAACTCCATGTACTTGTAGAATATAGTAGCATATTCCAATTTTAAAATACTAGGATCATCATATTTAGATTTGTCAATACAGAAAGCATTTTCGTCTTGTACATAAAAATATGGATCCATTTCTTTACGAACTTCTAAATTTCTTTTTTTCATTTCATTAAAAATCTCTTCATGCTTAAGTCTAATTTCATGCATGTTTATAAAAACAGTGTCACAAATTTCATATTTCACTTTTGGGCTGAGAAATGAGAAATTAAGTATACACTTTCTAAACTCAGATTCCCAAAGAATCATGTCGTCAATGTATAACTTTTCTGAGATAAACATTTCATGTAAAGCTTCTATCCTTTTTCTTAAATTTGCCATGTTTTTATTTTTTTGTTTAAATGTTTTTATGCTAAAAAAAATAAAAGTTTCAAAATAAATTAAAATTTAATTGTTACAGGCATATTTTTTAAAACCTTTATTTTGATTATAAACTCTTTTTATAATCTTGCTGTTTTATTATCTTCTTATAATGCAATTTTAAGGTCAAGTTGCAATGTACTGTGTGTATAGTTCTGTTTTAAAGATAAAATTCTTAATGTTTTTATTTTTGTTTCTAATAATTTATTATTAGTATTTCTTTAGACTGATCCTTTTTGGGTACCTCTTTTCTTTGTAATAATTTTTAATAAATTAAAAAAAATTATTTTACAGATTTTTATATAAATAGATATAAAATAAGTTATGATACACTTTTATAACCATTGAATTTAATTTTAAAAGGTAAATTTCATAAAACATTTTTATTTTTGAAATTTAAGTTTTTTTATGTCAGAGGATAATCTTAGATATGTCTTAATACTCCATCTGCTTACTAGAAATTGCATAATTTGACAAATCTTTAAAGTAAATATATTAAATAATAAATTTATTTAAGTAAAGTAATTGCTGGTTTCTTTTGCAAACTTATACAAAGTTTAAGTAAAAAGGGCATTTTAACAAAATTTAATTGTTAAAAAATAAATTGAAATGCGATCAAAAGAAAAACTTAAAACTTTTTTTTGTAAAAAATTTATTGAAAATTTTTGGGCCTATAAAAAAACTAGTTTACAAAGTCAACGTTAAAAATTGTTGTTCCCTGGGGATATCTTCCCTGTTCTTAGATACTATAAATAGTACTGCTTATATAATTACCTTTATTATAATTAGTTTTATTCGATGTTTTATCGTGGTTCTTAAATCTTTCTATACCATATTCTCTCGTTTCTTTAACAATTCTGGGTACTTTTTTTTTTAAATTTTTTTTTGTATCATAAAAAATTTTAGAAAATTTCTATCAAGGTGTTGATAATAGAATTCATAAATTGCGTAAATCGTTAGAATACCACAAAAATACAAATGAATAAAGACAAAAACATAAAAGTCGATTGTTATTGCGTGTCAATCGTCAATTTTTAATATATAATGTTAAGTTATGAATCTCTAATATATAAATGTATAACAAATAATAATAAACGAAATGCTGCTTCTAGAATATACAACATACTTCCTCTTGGCCATTTCTGATCATATTTTATAGTACTATTTTAATTTCCTAATATTAAAAAAGATTTATCTGTAATATCATTCAAAGAAACAAAAACAACTGTTTTTATTAATTATTTTTTTCGCTTTAAAAAACATAGCCATGATAAGTGTGTTTTGAGATGCAATTACAGAGGACAAAAATATTATCTTAAAACATCATTACGTTAAACTTTGAAGGATTTACTGATCATTATTAAGACGGTGAAAAAGGTTCAACTGCTATTCTTAATGCTAGAGTAAAAAGTCGACACTGAGTACATCAGAACAAGCATGAGAAGTTATATCGAACACGGTTGCATCATCTTGGCAAATAAAGTCATTTAATTTAAAAAGTATGAATGCTTATGTTAATATTCTTAGATGAAAAAATAATTAAACTGTTAATATAAATTAAAATATCTTAATTGAATTAACAGTTATAAAAAAACATCAAATTTGGTTTTTTTGTTCTGACATTAAAGATGATAGCTAAACGGTAGCTTTTACAACAATTAAAAGTTTAGAACATTTTTAAAATTGCAAAACATAATTTCGATCAACTTTTACTTTGCAATGTAATGTGCTACATTGCAACTTATCATTAATAAATTGTTTCGAGATGAAAAAATCAGAAGCATGCTATAAATTTTTTTTAAATGATTAAAAATTAAATCTGCTAACACAACACGGTTTTTGAAAATGTCACTTTTGATTCTGAAGTTGGAATTTTTATTTAGGACAAATTGTTTGGAGAAGAGTGCAACATTTACGATTTTCAAAAAAAAATTTGCAAATGAAGAAATAAAATTTAGATATGAAACTGCTATTTGCTTTGGGTTTTGTACTTAAAATAAAGTATCGGTTGTTTTTGCGGGTCTAAATAAGTATTTAAAGACTGAAAAATCAGTAAATGTTTAATATTTTTTTAGTAGTTTTAAAACAAAAATTTAAAATTTATTAGTAATGAAAGCATAAAATTTTGTAGTATCTTTAGTATTTTTTTAAACAGCACTAAATAATTCTTCCTCCATTTAAATAATTTGGTTAGAATTAAACAGTCTTTTTTCTATCTTATCGTCAAAGAATTAATTATTAACCCATATTATGAAAAATAAACTTTTTGAATCTCTACATATCATAAGAGTATTATTATTAAAATGATAAAATAAAGATATCTAAATAAACTATAATATGTATTGCGTTATTAAATTTTAAAAAATGTTAATTTAAACTCGGGAATTATATTGAAGTTTTTTAAAAAATAATCTTTTTTCTAACTGGGGGTTAAACTAACACAGAGAATTTATTTTAATGCAATAAAATGCTCGTGTATTGTTGATAAAAATAGTTTCTGCAAAATATCAAATAACTTTTTTTTGTCTATAAGAATCATTGTCAAACCACAATCATCATACATAATGTGGTATATATAACATAAGATAACTAACTCAGTGAATAAAAAATATTTTTTGATTATAACATACGCTTCTACCTCCAACAATTGTTAATTTATTTATAATTTTGATTTTACATTTTAAAATAAAATAAGCATATTTTAACGTTTAAATATTGCGGTTTTCAATGTAATTTTTTTAAGGCTGTGTCAAAGTCTTTACTCATTTATATCTCAAACTGTGGTACTAAAATTCAACTACAAATGGCAATACCCAGCAAAATGTTTTGAAATTAATAATGCAATATTTACGTATTACATATGATATTCTTAATATTTTATTTAACTAAAAGATATTTACATAACCTTTTAGAATCGTGAATTCAATATTTATAATTTTAATCACAATCAAATCTACCTATCAATAACGGTATAATTAAAAGTTTTAATAAAATATTTAAAAGTGGTATTTTATTAACAACTTGTAACGTTTAAAATAAAATATTTTTATTAGTTAACCCCATGCAGTTCAACCAATTCGAAACACTTAATTAGTATAACAGTTAAGAATGAATAATCAGAATTATTTGGCGCTGTACCAAAGGTTTTCTCTAATACAACAAGTTCTTGCATAGTAAATTCATCTTTATGTTTATCTTTGTAATAGCCAAAACCTAAAAGTGAAGATAATTTCTAAGTAGTAAAGCTTGAAGTGTAGTTAGATTATAAAGCTCAAAACATTCATCATTTTCATTAGGTTTAGTAAAAATACTATTATTATTATTTTCTTTAGGTTCAGTAAAAATACTATTATCATCAACTTCATCGCTTTTATCACTTTCTTCGGCTTTATCACTTTCATCATATACACCATATGCATGACTACTAGCACATTTATACCATTCTTCACGCTCATTCCACTCAGTCAATTTGTCTTCATTTCTAAAATCAAATAGTTTAGTTTTTTCAAAATAAAGATTGGGACTAGGGCGGTCTCCAAATAAATTGGTTTTAAGTCTCTTTAACATTTTAAGCAATTTTGAATTCTACTTTTCCAATATTTTTACCGTTTTGCGTCATATATCCTCGAAAGAAGATAATATCTTTTGGTTTCTTGAACCAATTCAGTTTTTCCTACATTAGTTATAAAATTTAGAAATTTTAGCATTACAGGAAAAAAATTGCTTCTTAACTTTTTCGTTTTAACAAATTGGCGCTATAAACCTTTAATTTTCTTTTTGTAATTTACGTTTGAAAGATTACCAATGCTGTTTTTACTTGGCTTTTTAATTTCTTGAGTCTCAGTTGCTAATTCAAAACCTAAAAATAGTACTAAGATATTTGTATTACAAAATACTTTTTTGAGTTTCATCAAAAGGATGTCTAATTTTTTTATTTATAATAAAAAATAAATAACAATTTCCTAAAAAAAAATTTTTAATAAATTTTTATAAAAAACAAATTTAGATAAATAATAAACTTTTTGCGTATATCTCATTAAATTCATATCCGATTTCTAAAAGCTTACACAAATTGAAAACTATCTAATTAGTCATCTTTACAAACTTTTATAATGTTTTAAAGATTAATTTTACAGATATTTCACTTAAAATAAACTATTTTTTCAGTAATAATTATTTATAAATTTTAATCTTTTTTTAAAAATGCGCCATCAGAAAAAAAAATAAAAAATATAATCAAAGAATTAAAAAAATATATTTAGAATAAACAAAATTGTTAAATGTAATGAAAATTTGCTGTTATATACATATACAAAAATTATATGCCCCTTTATCTATGAAAGCTTAGATATTATATTTTCGAAAAAGCATGTTTTGCTAAAAGCAAATTTTAAGTTTAAGTATTTTAAAATTAGTAAATTTTAGAAAATTTCTGTTCTATAAATTAATCGCATATAAAAAAATTATCGCGAAATCGTCTTACTGATCTTGAAACGGCAGGACAAATGTCAAATATCAATGTGTTGCTTGGCTTAAGACATTTGACATGTTTAAATATATATTTACACTTTTAAATAACCCATGTTTTCTGATAAGCACTTTTTAGATAACAAAAATTGATATAATTTATAAATTAAACTAGGATTAAAGATTAAAATGCTATATTAGGCATTTTTTGATACTATCAAAATTTTCTTATTTTAGTACTTTTTTATAATTTTTGTAATAAGAAAAAGATATTAAAACAAACTTTTTTTTGTCTTGTGAGCTCAATAATAAATTAAAGTAATATGTTTGATAAACATCTCAAATTATGATTTTTTTCATTTTTATTTAAAAGAAACCTAAGTAAATAAATATTAACTAATTTAAAGTTCTACATCTAACAGAAATAGACTTTTTAATCGCATTACAATTTCCTTCGATTGTATTTGTATGAATTCCTGTTTGTTTAACTACAAAGCCTTTAGAATGATTTACTGCTTGATGTAAACTGAAATACTTAAAGAGATCAATACAGCCTTTTCTACGATCTGAGTAAATTACAAACCTGCTATCGATAAATTTTGTACAAAAATTTGTAACTGTTTCTTTATTTATTTGTTTTACGGGTTGTAATACAATACGTTTATCAGTTCTACTAACCGCGTCAACGTCCCATACATCACCTACTGAATTTCTTCTATTAATTTTTATCTGCCGAACTTGCTTTCATCCACTTCCACGATGCATTTATCACCAGCTAGTTTTTGTAATTCGAAGTTTAGATATTTGTTAAAAGTACCAAGTTTTCTTATCTTAATTAAATTTCAACTTTTAGTTGGATTTTAGATACTATTGATAGTCGTTTAATTAAAGTAAGTGACACATTATTAAGCCACAAATTCAAAAGATTTATCATTGATTAAAAATTATGCTTGGATTGTCAAAAATGGAATTCTGATAATAGCTAAATCTTTTTTTACAGGCAAAAAAATTTATAAAAAAGTCTATTAGTCTCCTTAAGTTTGTGGTATTATTTACCACATTAATTAATTTTATCATTTTCCCTCCATTTCTTTGATTTTTATATAATTAAATTTTTATTGTACCTTTAATAAAAAGGGAAATGAAATTCAAGAACGTAAATGGCGCAAGTATCGGCGTGAAACGAGTCTATCGAAAACTCCTTCCGGTTGTAGTAAAAAGTTATATCTATAACAGATTAATAAAGGGGCGGAAAATCGTATTCTCAAAGAGTTCTTTACTTCTGGAAAACTTCCTTTAAAAGATACCAGAGAGTTATTTAATTAAAAAACTATATTTATGCATTTTCTATTTTTATATATCAATTCAACGTACTAGGCCAAATTATCATGTTCTTCTTTTTTTGTTTCATCTGACGCAACATGTTTAAAATAGTTTTCTAATATGTAAATTCTAACTAGTTTATTGATTTTAGTTGAATTACGCCAATTAGTTTTAAGTCGTGGTTTTAGTCATGGTGCAGCTGACACATGACCATCAGTCACTGTTTGTTGAATCAATTCGTGTGTGATTAAACAAACAAGTGAGTATTCAATGTAGATCAGTCTTTTCGCTTTCCTTTTAGCTTAAACTTTAATATACTGCTTTCTTATATTGTTTGTTGATGTAATCTTTTATTAAGTAAAAACTATAAATAGGATTTCTACCAATAAAAAAAAATGATGGACAATGGGTCAAATAAACATAACTTTTCTTCACAATTTTCTAAACTGGATAGTTATGTTAATAAAAGCTTCCTAATGCTTGTTTATTGAATTCTTTCATTGTTTGAAAATTTGGTTATTTAAATAGTTTTTCTCAAACATTGTTTCAATTTATACCAATAGCTGTAATGTGGTATCAATCTGAAACATGAGGGATACCACAACCAGCCCCCTCCTAACGAAGAGGACCAATTCCTGTCATGGTTATTACGTCTTAAAACCTCAACATTGTCTCTATGGACCCATTCTGCTATGTTATGTATTTTTATCCACATGTTATTCTTCCCCACATCAGAAACAGTAAAATGTCCTTCATATAAGTCTTCAATCTTCGTGCTATTAAAATTCTTAATATACAATAAATCTCCTATTCTGGTTAAGTGCTTTAAGGTAGACTTAACGTCTTCTGCATATGTCCTATGTTGTTTAAGTGATTTCTCAAATACTTTCTTTATCTGTCGCTTTGGGTCAAATATTGAATATCCTTGATTAATAACATTGGCTCGCTTCCTAAGCCATGGTGATGGTTTCCATTGATTCTAATCATTATTCTCCTTGCTATGTTGATTATGTTGTCTCCCTTATTCATTCTTAGCATCTCTGCAACCGTTTGATTTAGTCGCTCACTTATCTATCACATTAGAATATGGGTGATAAATTGGTGTTGATGCTTTCTTAATTTTCATTGAGTTTAGATACTTATCAAACTTCTTAGCCGAATATTTGTACACCATTGTCACAAATAATTTTCTTAAGTTCGCCGAATTTGTTGATCAACACATCCAAAGAACCGATAATATTATCTTCTGTTATCCTAGTGGTAAAAATTACCAATTTATATTGACTGTACACGCCAGTTATCGTTATAAAAAATTCTTTCTGAGTTTTTGTTTTAAACTTAAAGTATTTAATATCAAAGAGACCAAAAATGTCACTACATATTACGTAATTAACCCTCTCTGAATATATATTGTTGGATGTTAAACATCCAGTAGTTTCATATACGAATGAAATCACGATGTCTTAAGCTTGTTTATTTGTTTGTTTACATTTTTCATGTAAAACTATAAAAAGAAATCCAAAATAAAGAAGGATGTCATTTATTAATACCTCTTCTAAGTCTTCAAGACCCAAATAGGTTAGCGGTGTACCATCTTCCGAGACAAAGGCAAAGGCCTTTGAGGAACACACTAAAGTTTATGAAAGTGCTTAAGGCAACTATCCTACAGCGTCAAAAGTAGAAGGCTACGAGAAGTTAAGCTCATTTTCAGCACCGATGGTAATTTTTAAGATGAATCTGCAGGAAGAGGAAGTGAAAAGAAAACTGTTTATAATTTAGTGTGAAGATGGCTTTAAAACCCGTTCAGAAAAATCAAAAATGATTTCCGTGACAAAGAAAAGTAGTGTTGACATAAAGGATTGGTTTTATGAAACTGGATCAAGAAATAGTTTACCGGAATCCTGGGATGAATTCAAATTACGAATTATTGATTTGTGTATTGAACAAGTACTTGATTCACTGTATAGATACACAAATGAACCATGGAGTAAGTACGTCGAAAGAATACGTGATAAAGCTATATCTACAAATGCAAGTAATGAACAAGTCTTTAAGACGCTGCGACGCGAGAACTCCCCGGAAATTTTTAGAAACATGTTTTACACCTTTGAGGATTTGGAGAAACCTGCAAAGACTTCGATGGAGTATTAGAAAAAGTCGAGAATAAGACCAAACAATGTAGTAAATAGGCAACCCAACTCAAGTAGGAAAAATAAGAATGTGGAATGCTATAGCTGTAAAAGCCTAGGACATTATGCAACTGACTGCCCCCAAAAAGGCAAAACAGATTCTATAAATTTAGTTGATAAACATTTGAAGTGTACCGGCTTGGCACAGAAGTTGTAAAAATAAACAATATATTTCTTCCTGCGGTGTTTGATGGCGACACATGCGAGTCTATCGTAACAAGCAAATTGTTAAAAAAACCTATAAACACGACGACTAAACATGTAAAGAAAACTTTTAAACTAATTGATGGATCAACAATAGAAATAAATCACATGGTAGAGTTACATATTGAGTATAGAAATCAAAGCTTTAATGAAGAGTTTTATATTGTAGAAAATGAAATCGACAAACAGATACTACTAGGTAATACACTTTCGTGGAAACTTAGAGAAACAAAGAAAATGTTTATCGAATGCTGCATAAATACCAAAGACCATCCACCTATAAGTTGGAGCAGACCAATAAGAACATTGCAAGATAAGAGGGACTTCCAAGATCTAATTTAGGACTTAGAGAAAGGAGGTATTGTAGAGAAGAGTAAATCGTCCTGGTCAAACCCAGTGGTTTTAGTAAGGAAAAATGTGGTAAACTAAGATTTTGCGTGGACTTCAGAAACTTAAATAATTAAGAAATCTGGATGGGTTTGAGACACCTAGAATACAGGAGTTGATAACAACGCTACATAAGAAAAGATACTTTTCATGCGCCGATTTGAAGGATGGATTTGTGGTATTGATTCCACATGAAATGTTTTCTATTTTCTGAATTTTCTTGAAGAAATTTTATTATAAAAATATTTCATGAAAAGAAGGGCATCGCTGTCATGAATAACTTACATAATCATCAACAGCAAGAGAATTATAAGATCAACAGAGGATCTCACAAGAGTACCATTCCCCATGAAGTTAATAAACAATTTAAGTTGCACCAATTTAGTTTGGCTTCAGTAGCGAGCATTGTGGAGAACTTTCTTAGTTCTGGTCGCCTTCTTGCGTTTCTCGCCACAGTAGCTTTATCTCTTCGAGCTATAATCTTCATGTATCCTTTTGCCGGTACATAACTTGTATCAACAATCCCAAAAACCCAGTCTTGATGTTTTGGCGTTCGTTCTCTGTGATATTTTTGCTTGTGAACAAACAAGCTTTCATCAATTTAACAAATAATGCCAGGACCACCAAGGGAAATCATTTTTCTAATAAAGAACTCTACACACGCCAATTGTCTTATAATGTCCCATTCTTGTCAAACCGCCAATATTCTTATGTGAAGGGTTTATACTCAAAAGGTAAATGGCATATACTCCCGTTTGTAAATCAATTTATGTTTTCTCAAAAAACAAAATGTTTTTGATTGAAAGTGTAATTTTAAACTTAAGACGTTGTTTGTTTCCCCATGTCCAAACAAACTGGCCTTTATTATTACTACAGGCTCGCCAATTCACACATCTAAGCAAAAAAAACAATGCATGTCCAATTTTATCAATCCTGTAAATTTGAAAAAATTAATAGTACAATTTATATCTACACCAATAATTGTAAAGTTGTTTCTTAAAGGAAATTCCCCTCATATAATATAAGGGTAAAAATTAAAAAAAATTATGCTGCTTTATTTCTCCCAAGGGAGAAATAACCTTATGATTTATTCTTAAAAATATTTTATTTTTTTCAACCCAATTTCAGAATGAACATAAAGGAAGAATCTAGAAAATATTTTTATAATAAGTTTTTACATCAAAAGTGTTTTAAAATTACTTTAAGTTTAGTTTGTTTCCTCGAGGACACGACAATATGATACACCTTTATGCATGTATTTTTTATTTATAATTACAAATGGCTTTTTTTATTGTAAATTAAAATTTGCTATAGACACCTTGTTATTATTTATAAAACTTGCCAGATAATACTGGAGTAGAATTGTACGTTAAAAAATATTATATTTTAGATTTGGTTTTATGATAATAATTTTTGTTTAATTTATAATTGTGATTTCTTTTTAATTTCATTTTTTTTACTTTAACTTTATTTACATTTTTATTTCAATTGAAGCAGGAATGTTTTGATTTACTTAAACTTAGTGATAGTATCTGAACTCCTTGGTTTTAGAATTACCAAATACCATGCCAAAAGTACAAGACATAACTAAATAGAAACAAGGAAAACGCACAGAAACGCCGTTCCATGCTTAAAGAAATAAATCCAACACCAATGCTACTCGTATTTTTAAAAAATACAAAGAATTTTACAAATTCAAAAAAAGAAGGGATAAAAAATAAATTAAAATTTTCCTTATCTTTTTTAACATAGTAGATAGATTAACTAATGCTATCCCGTTTTAAACGAAATTATAAACACGATGTATGCTCTTTTTCTCAATCTGCATTATGCCCTTGGGCTTGTATTTATTGTTCAAAAGTATAAAATGCCTTCTTTATCAATAATTACATTTTGCAATAGTTCCCTACTTTACGATTTAAATAATTGTTAAAACTACAGGAAAATGCACAAAAATAAATTTACGTTTGTATACTGTTTCTTAATATAAAATACAAAAAAATTTACAAATTCAAAAAAATGGTTAAAGGTTAAATGAAAATTTTTTTTATCTTTTTATAATATAAGTAGAATTGATAGATAGGTGGATGATTGATGATGACGATTAATGATATAGATGTGGTATAATACCACCGTAGTATATTCTTTTACATGATAGTTTCAGTTCTATGTAGTGAAATTTCTTGTTTTTATTTGTAAGAATTAATCGATTTATTAAATTTGTTTAAGAACGAGTTATTCTGGAAATTTTTATATATTACGGACAAAATACAAACTTCTTTTCAGCTTTTTAAATACAGTTGTAAGAAAATCATTGGTTTTTTTTACGTCATTTTATTTAATTGATTAATGTCAAAATAGCTGCCTGCAAAAATATTTTTTATAAATGTTTAAAATTAAAACAACTCTTTGAAACTAAGCTACCGCAAGGTTAAGAAACCCTGTTCCACTAAAAATGAAACTCATGAATTTTTTTAAAAACATACCCTAAAAATTAAATTTGAAATGTAAAAACAAAAAAAATAATAATAATTGTTAGAAATATTATTTATTTCTTTTTCCTTTTTGTCATAAAAATTGGGGTTCAATTAATTATGAAATTAAAATTACGAATAAATTATTTTAAAAAGTCAAACCAAGTTGTTCCTTGGCTTGGCTACAACAATAATATTCATTAATCTTATTGTTTATTCATTAAAAAGGCGTGAAACTGTATAATGGAATGAATATTAGCATAATTTTTTGATAATATGTACCTCATTAAATACGGATTAATTAACTTTTTTGTTCTACATCTACTATAAGGTATAAATGCTTTGACAGAAGACCAAGTTCCTTCTATGGTATTGGTATGTATACCAATGGTTGAATCCTTAAAACATTTACTGTGGTTTACAATCTTGTGATTAAATTCATGCTCATTTAAATTTCAATATAACTTCCAGCGATCACTATAGATTGTAGACTCACGCGCTACACAATTTTTAATTTTAAGCCGAGGTGTTTATTTGGCTCTATCATCGCCTGAAAAAAGAATACTCTTTTTTATTATTTCTTTTTTCAACAAGGTGGCCTTTATTATATTTTCCCTTACCAAACTTTGATTCATCTATTTCTATAATTTCATTATCATTACTGTCCTGTATCACAGGCAATGTATTTTATGTTAAATAAAACTCTACAATGGTATAAATAAATTTTCTTTTAATTATTCTATTACCATTTATCTCATTGTGGCTCCCTACATAATTCCTATTAAAAAAACCTTTGCTCATGCCCCTCCTCGGTTCATAAATTTTATTTATAATTTCTTTAGAAATTTTGAAAGGAAAAATTATATACAAAGTGAAATTAGACTTTTTTGTATTTTGTTTTAAAATATCTTTCTGTAATCTACTAAAGAATTAATTAAAGTTTCTTCTTTTGACAGAAGTCTTATAAATTAATTCATGTTGTGATACTGCTATATCACAATTATTAATGTTATTATATAACTATTCAACAATGATATCTGAAACTTTTTTAAGGATGCTTTTAACAGATTTTTTTGACACCCTTAGAATATACGATATTGCCTTATTATTTACTTTTTGTAGACATAATTTTATAATTTTAATAAAAGTATGCTTGCTTTTTTTAAAGCCATGAAAAATAGTATTCTTCCATATGTAAACATGCTTTCTATATTTGACGCCAAACTTGTTTTTACACTTTACAAATTCATAAAAATCATTCTTTTCTATTGTAACAACTTCATTGCATACACTTCCATTAATTATTCTTGTTGAGATCAGTACATATTTATAAGGACTAATCACATCTTCTTATGAGGTAAAACAAATATTTGATTCCTTTTATTGGTGCGTTTCGAAACAATGACTATGAATAGCATTTTTAAATAAAGATTAGTTTATGTATGAATCAGCAGTTGGCAATAATTCTAATATAGTCAAAAATTTACACCTTAATATCTTTTTTTTTCAACATTTCAAATTTCTTTTTTGGGTATATTTTTAAAAATATCAAAGCCTTCATTTTTGGTGGAACAGTGTATTTTGCTCCTTACAGCAAGCATCAATCTTAAAAAAAAAAGTCATAGCTTTATTGAATTTAATTACTCTTAAATTAATTTATAGTGTTGTAACATCGTAAGCACTTGCTTAGTTTACTTGTATAACAACTCTGAAATACCTGCACATTTAAAAATAAAACTCTTGTGCTAAGTAACTATTCCCCAAAATTCCTTTATTTTTAGTTCAGCGAGCTTTAAATTAATCTGTATTTTTGATGTATTTACTTACTTGATAAAATCATCGAATAATTGCTCCTTTTTCCGAAACAAAGTATAAACAACCACCATATAGATTTCATCATATTACACATCCTTTTCTAGCAACTTTTTTTATTTACTAATCTCTGCACAAACCATCTTTTGCTCTTATGTTTAGTTAAGCGGTAGTTTATAATATTATAGCTGATTTTAATTAACATGTATTTAATGTTGCTAACATTATTAATTTTTGTAATATTTCACATGTTAAATGAAACCATCCTGATAAATTTAAATCTTTTTGATATCTAACGAGAACAATTAAAATTGTTTTTATAAAATTTAGAGCAATTGGTATAAAGTGGTAGGCTGAGTTTTGCCTGCTTTCGTTACATCGGGTTCAATAAATTGTTGTTTGTTCCTTTGTGTGGTGTACCACATGCACTTGATTCAAAATAAACTAAATGTCAAAAATATGATTGTTGACATCCATGATTAATTAAACTGTTGAGGGAATCTAGGTTTTTGGTGCTGTAGAATGGGTACAAGAAATATACTATTAGTTCCGGTTGAAAGAAAAAGTAGGGAAGTTTTAGAAGAGATTATTTTTAGGTTAGCGGACAAAAATTTTATTTTGTATTCTGACTTTTGGAAAGCCTACAGAAATTTAGGTAATCATTTTTATAAGCATTGTACTGTAAATCATTCAAAAAAAAATTGTTAGATATAGCGCAGATGGTAACATACATTACCATCGAAGGAAATTGGCCTGCTGTAAAGAGAAAAGTTCCTATAAAATGTAGAACTTCTAGGTTAATTGATCTCCATCTTTTAAGATTTATGCTATTTAGCAACGAAAAATGTTCTAAATTGTCTAAATTACTAGTAAATTCTCTTTTTCATAATTATAAAAAAAATAAATTAATTAATTGAGAAATAAGTAAGTCGATTTGTTTATTAAATACATTTAAAACAAAATTGCTCACTTATTTTTTAAAATGTCTGAAAAGAAGAAAAAACTATGTTTTAAATAATTTACAGTTTTCTTTTGTTTTTAAATTTTTAAAAATAAGGATAAGTTTTTTTTAAAACGGTGTATATCAAAAAACGTGCAGCACAGGTTAAAATTCTCCGATCTTTTCTTAATTTCATTCTCTCAAAGAATTTTTTTTTTAAATAGTTTTATTTTAATTAATATGTTATTTTTGAGTCTTAATTTACTATTTAAAAAAGTTTATTTATTTTAGGTTTATTCTTAGTTCAACTGATAATTAAACGTCCCTTTCAAAGTCTCCGTATTTCTTATGCAGTTTCCGGATAGACATCATATTGTTTATAACCTTTTATACGGCGTATTAAGGTTTTTTTAAGTTCTATCTGGGAGAGAATGTCTCAAGACACATCTTTGACTATCTCTGGACATAAAGGATAGTAAAAAAATACTTACTTGTAATTTATTTTTATTAAAACTGTACCTCAGGCAGAAGTACTCATTTTCAAAAAACATCAAAAAATATCATTTTTTAAATTTCTTATAAAATATTACTTTTAGTAATTGAATTTTGATTCTTATTCCAACATATTGTTTAAGTATATGCATTAAATGAGAGTTTATTTTCAAAGAATTTTTGAAAATTATAATAAAAATAATTCTTTTTTTTATTCTTGAAAATTTTCTTTTAAATAATTTAAGTAATGTGAAAATCTACAAGAACAAACATTTTTAAGCAGAAAGAAAAAAATTTTATGGTAAAGAATTCAAGAAAAAGATTGATAAATTTAATAATTAAAAGTGTTATATATTGAAATCAAATAAATTTTATTGTTCATAACAGTCAATTATTTATTTAACAAAAACTACAGCACCTAGCTTTTCCGAGCGGTTTCCCATCTCAGTACTAACAAGGCTCTTACTGGCTTAACTTCGGAGAGCTGACGAGTTCCGGTGTTTTACAGTAGATATGGCCGTAGCTAAATGCTGCATAGATAAAATTTTATTAAACTAATTTATTGAAAAAGTAGTTTTCATATTATTTTCTAAATTTTCAAACTTTTAAATTATAGTACAATTATTTTGAGAAATTTATAATTCATTGATATATTCTTAAAAGTAATCTATTAACATTAAATTATAAAAATTTTTATGTACTTTGTAATTACATTATAACACGATAAAAATAATAATACACTTTTGTATTTATCTAATAGATTTATATAATAAACATTAATGATTCTTTTTAATTGTTACTAATTTATGCCATATATTATATACATTTCTAAAATTAAATCAAAAAAGTTATTTATTCTTGAGGAGCAATTTTTTCTTATTTAAAAATTTTCTAATCTGTAAATTAGTGATTGATCAATAAATTACTGATTTATTAAATGATTTTTTTGAACCCTTGTTAAAAAATTATTTATTTTAATTTGATAATATATCAATATGTTTTGTACTTTATTTTTATTATAGTTTTCATATATTATATCTGTGAAATGTGTTCTTTAGAAATTTATTATTTCTAATTATTTTCTTTTATATACTGACTTTTATGGTTATATATAATGTTGTATACACACACCAGGTTGATTCTGCCTGACGTAGACGCTATTCCCTAAGATTAACCCATGCATGTTTTTGACATTTGAAAAATGGACTGCTCAGTAATACTCACTTTATTTTATGTAAATTTTTAATTAACTACGTTAAAGTGTAGATAAGATGTTTACAGTAAGAGTGAGACCTATCAGCTAGTTGTTAAGGTAATGGCTTAACAAGGCTGTGACGGGTAACGGTATTACTTTGTAATATTCCGGAGAAGGAGCCTGAGAGACGGCTACTAAGTCTAAGGATTGCAGCAGGGGCGAAACTTGACCTATGGATTTTATCTGAGGCAGTTATGGGAAGTAATATTATATTGTTTCATATTTTAAAAGTATATGAGGTGATTAATTGGAGGGCAAATCAAGTGCCAGCAGCCGCGGTAATACTTGTTCCAAGAGTGTGTATGATGATTGATGCAGTTAAAAAGTCCGTAGTTTATTTTTTTAAGAAGCAATATGAGGTGTACTGTATAGTTGGGAGAAAGATGAAATGTGACGACCCTGACTGGACGAACAGAAGCGAAAGCTGTACACTTGTATGTATTTTTTGAACAAGGACGTAAGCTGGAGGAGCGAAGATGATTAGATACCATTGTAGTTCCAGCAGTAAACTATGCCGACGATGTGATATGAAAATATTAATTTGTATTACATAATAGAAATTTGAGTTTTTTGGCTCTGGGGATAGTATGATCGCAAGATTGAAAATTAAAGAAATTGACGGAAGAATACCACAAGGAGTGGATTGTGCGGCTTAATTTGACTCAACGCGAGGTAACTTACCAATATTTTATTATTTTGAGAGAACGGTTTTTTGTTTGAGAATGATAATAGTGGTGCATGGCCGTTTTCAATGGATGCTGTGAAGTTTTGATTAATTTCAACAAGACGTGAGACCCTTATTTTTTATTAAAGACAGACACAATCAGTGTAGGAAGGAAAGGATTAAAACAGGTCCGTTATGCCCTCTGACATTTTGGGCTGCACGCGCAATACAATAGATATATAATCTTTATGGGATAATATTTTGTAAGAGATATTTGAACTTGGAATTGCTAGTAAATTTTATTAAATAAGTAGAATTGAATGTGTCCCTGTTCTTTGTACACACCGCCCGTCGCTATCTAAGATGATATATGTTGTGAAATTAGTGAAAACTACTTAAACAATATGTATTAGATCTGATATAAGTCGTAACATGGTTGCTGTTGGAGAACCATTAGCAGGATCATAATGATTTTTAAAATTATTTATTTCATATTATTATTTTTATTTTGCCCACACATGGGATCAATAGGATACCATAACGATGAAGGTCGTAATAGAATACGAAAGTATTTTAATATTTACCGAATTAATATTTAATAATATTGATTACCCTTTGAACTTAAGCATATCATTAAAAGGAGGAAAAGAAACTAACTAGGATTTCTTTAGTAGCGGCGAGTGAACAAGAAATAACCCTTGATTGTAATCCTTAATTGGAGATGTAAATCAATTTTATTTTTATTTAATTATATCATAGAGAATATTTATTATTCGTTATTAATAAAAATAATAAATAAAATATATTGAGTAGGGCTGCTTGGTAGTGCAGTTTGAATAAAGGTAGAATGAGATATCTAAGGTTAAATATAATGGTATACCGATAGCAAATAAGTACTGCGAAGGAATTTGTGAAAATGTGTGTGGTTATAGCCTTATTTTTAAGGACCCGTCTTGAAACACGGACCAAGGAGATTATAATTATAGCGAGATAATATTTTTATTTTAGTCGTTATTAATTTGATAAGTTATAATTATAAGACCCGAAACACAGTGAACTATACATGTTCTGGTTGAAGATAAGCAACAGTTTATTGGAAGACCATAATCATTCTGACGTGCAAATCGATGATTTAAGATGTGTATAGTGGCGAAAGACCAATCGAACTGTGTGGTAGCTGGTTCACAGCGAAATGTCTCTCAGGACAGCAGTCATTATTTTTTTTATATAGGACATAGATGTAGGACACTGTTATAATATTTATATTATGAGAAATCTTTAATTCTATGGAATTTTATAAATTAATTTTATAAAATGTATCTATTATTTTATGACTAGTGGGCACATGATTGTAAGAATGATGTGCAAAAAGGGATGAACCTTATGAAACATTAAATATTCTAAATAGTAGATATTATACCATAAATATGATGAATACATTGAGACAGTGGGGCGGTTGTTATGGAAGTAGAAATCCGCTAAGAAACGTGTTACAACGTACCTACCGAATGTATTATTGTATAAAATGGAAGAAGATTACTACTTTTATGAGATGTTTCTGTTATATTTATTTATCAGGTAGCTGTGCAATTTGTTTGTATTGAAGTATATATGTGAATATATATAGAAGAAACAAATGAGCCGATCTTGGAGGCAGTAACAATATATTTGTATAGATATTAGACTAGGGTTTTCAATTATTATTGAAGTGAATCGGTGTTATTTTATAAAAACAAAAAAGATTAATAATTCTTTATTAAACTATTTTAAGGCGACTTGATGATGACAGTATATTTATTAATCTAAGATAAATGAATTAGATTATTTATTTATTAACTATGGATTGTCATGATAAGAAGTAGTTATTTATATATACTTGATAAAAATATTATAGTTTTAACCGTACCTATACCGCATCAGGAGTCTTTGTATCATAACAAATATTTTAAATTAAAGTAAGTAAGGGAATTCGGCAAATTAGATCTGTAACTTTGGGATAAAGATTGGCTCTAGCATGCTAGAACTTTTACTATGTAAGGAATCTGACTGTTTATTAAAAACATAGCTTTTTGTAATTACAAGAAGTGAATTCTGCCCAGTGCATTTATTGTTAAAGTTGTGTAAGCGAATGTAAACGGCGGGAGTAACTATGACTCTCTTAAGGTAGCCAAATGCCTCGTCATTTAATTGGTGACGCGCATGAATGGAGCAACGAGATTCCTACTGTCCCTACTTACAATTTTGTGAAACCACTATACAAGGGAACGGGCTTGTTATTTATCAGCGGGGAAAGAAGACCCTGTTGAGCTTGACTTTAGTATGTTCTAATAATTATTCGATATATTGTAGAGAGGTGGGAGATTATTTGTGAAACCACTAGTATGTTTGAATAATTATTTATTTTATTGAATATATGGGGAGTTTGGCTGGGGCGGTACAGCTGTTAAAAAGTAACACAGCTGTCCTAAGGTAGATGAATGATGGATGGTAACCATCAGTTTATTATAAGGGAATGAATCTGCTTTACTTTATACATATGACTGTATTTAGTAGGGAAACCTTGGCCTAGCGATCCCAATTACATTCATTATGTATTGGGTGATTGAAAAGTTACCACAGGGATAACTGGCTTGTAGCAGGCAAGCGATCATAGCGACTCTGCTTTTTGATTCTTCGATGTCGTCTCTTCTGATCATCGTAGTGTATATGTTACGAAGTGTTGGATTGTTCACCCGGTAATGAGGAACGTGAGATGGGTTTAGACCGTCGTGAGACAGGTTAGTTTTACCCTACTGTTTGTATTTTTGAGTGAACTTTGATAGTACGAGAGGAACTCTAAGTGATGACCACTGGTAGTGCGATTAACTATTAAGTTATGTTGCTTAGCTACGTCATTTCGATTAAGGCTGAAAGCCTCTTAAGCCTGAAGCGTAGCTCAAGGATATTTTTTTGAGAATACTACTCTTTTAAGCAGAACTGTAAGAATGAAGGTGTATGCCGACATTTTGAGGTTACTGCTTTTTTGTTAATAAAGTAGGTTATAAACACCAATATTCGATTGTATTATGTATGATAACTAGGAATCGCCCTCTATCCTGAAGGTAATATCTATGGAGGAAGAACCAGAATCTAAAGCGGCTCAGGCTTTGTGGATAACTGTTAGGGCCATTTGGAACGAAGCGGTTATACCACGAGAGATCAATGTGGGTGAAGTGGTGCCAATACCAAAGAAGGTAATGTCCGTGGTCAACATGGGCGACACCCGAGGTATTGCATTACTGCCATCACTCACAAAGGTCGTAGCCAAAATAGCTGCAAATAGAATCAGTCAGATTGCGGAGACCCG